GTGAGGTGTTTCTGCTGAGCCTCCCTCTCGGCCAGATCCAATTTGAACTGAGCCAGCTGTTTTGCCAACATTTTCTCGTGGTGGCTGCTTAGCTCCAACAACTGCTTCCTGTTGGGGCCCTAAGGAGCCTGGGAAGACGAGGAGTGGCTGGGAGAGGAGGGGCAAGTAGAGGCTGGCGAGGCGCCCCCCCACACCACGCCCCCCCAGCTGGTCATTAGGCAGATCATATTAGTGGTCCGTAGGGTTAAAATTATGAATTTAGTGGTCCCTGAGGTCCGAAAGGTTGGTGACCCCTGCTTTAGCACATCTACTTACTACTAAAACTATATACTACTACAACTCTCATTCTGTTTGTCTCTTTTTGTACCCTCAAGATAGCCCAAACAGTACATTGTACCATGACAAATTTTGAGTAATGTTATCTTAAATCCACTCACTTAAAAGAATACAGATAGTCCTCGATTTACAACAATTCGTTTAGTGACAACGGCAGTGAAAAATGTGACTTACGACCCTTTTACATAGTTACAATCTTTGCAGCGTCCCCATGATCATGTAATCAAAATTTAGATGCTCGGCAACTGAATCGTACTTATGACAGTTGCAGTGTCCCGCGGTCATGTGATCGATCCCCTTTTGTAAACCTTCTGACAAGCAAAGTCCACGGGGAAGCCAGATTCACTTAACAACCCAGGTTACCAATTTATCAGCTGCAGTAATTCACTTAACAACTGAGGCATGAAAGTCCGTAAAATGGGGTAAAACTCACTTAACAAACGTCTCATTTAACAACAGAAATTTTAGGCTCTGTTGTGGTCGTACATTGAGGAATACCTGTACATAAAAAAAATCAGGAACATCACAACCTGGTGGAATTGAAATTTTCACAATGTTCAGTCCAGTTTTATGTGCAAAGTTGTGGCCATTGCAGCAATCCCTGTGGGCATGTGATGATTTCCAATACTCCCTGTAATGGTATGTAGAAATGAGCTCAAGGGCCCGGGGGGTGGTGGTGGCTACTTAGGAAACAATGATAAGAGAGGGAGGAGCCCCCAGCAGCTTAATGGTCAAAGGAAGAAATTTAGGAAGGACCCACCCTAATGGGTCAGCTGGTTAATGATGATGGCAGAAAGTTTGTAGCTTCAGACTTGCAAGATTCTGTAGTCTAATTATAATAATGTAGATTTAGCTCATCTATTTTACTGTTTCCTGTCATCCAGTTTCCCTGGGAGAGTTGATACTCCCTGACGGCTTCCCAAAAGCCAAGTCAATGGGGAAGCCGTCAGGAAGTCAGAAGCTTCTCCTGCTCCTTCTGCTGTTTTGCCTGCTTGTGGTGTTGTCTAATATCTACTAATACCATTGCCTTTCTCTTTTAGCACATCTCAAGGTTTGGAGCTTTTTTAGATATTTTTTTTTATCCTACCTTCATTGCTTTTATAAATAACTCAAGGTGGCAAACATACCTAATACTCTTTCCTTCTCCTGTTTTCCCCACAACAAAACCCTGTGAGGTGGGTTGGGTTGAGAGCAGAAGACTGGCCCAAAGTCATCCCTCTGGCTTTCATGCCTAAAATGGGACTAGAACTCACAACCTTCAGACTTCTAACTTGCTGAACTAACCATTAGACCAGAGCCGCAGGTTGCTGACTTAACATTAGACCAAACAGACTTAAGTTACTGAGCAAATCTTTCTTGATTTTAACTGGTTTGTAAGCCCTTTATGGCAACCTCCTAGAGACCTCGGTAGCTGGCAGTGTATAACTTCAAAATAAAATAATTTATTTGTATTCCATGTGTTAAGAACAGTGATGGGTTCTAACTGGTGTTACCACCGGTTCGTTTCACGCATGCGCTTTGCACACGATCACCACAAAGGTAATATAAAATAGCCTCTTTTTAGAGACACAGACATTAAAAAAAAAACACAACACAACAGACCAAGTAATGCTGTCCAACAACTCACTGATGGTGGCCCTTTAAAAGAATACTGGTTAAATCAGGGTGTATAATACTATGTATACTTAAAAAGGACTGGATACAGCCAGTACACTACCATTGCAAAACTGGAAATGTGATGCATTATAAAGAAAAATGTATAATAAAAATATAAAGAAAAAAGAGAGAGAATGAAGATCTTGGCTTATGGCAGGGGTGTCAAACACACGGCGTCACGGTAGCATCACGTGATGTATCGTGACTTTTTTCCCCCTTTGCTAAACCGGGCATGGGCATGGCCAGCAGTGACGCATCCACCCTGCGGGCCACGAGTTTGACAGTCCTGGCCTATGGGATGCTGGTAGTCTGTTCCTCAGGAAGGTGATGGGGTTTTGCACTAAGGTTTAAAAAATGTCTTTGAATCTTCTCTTGCATTCTTATGAGAAATAATGGCAATGACGTAGGATTAGGTTTTTAATCTTTTTTAACTCATGGAAGCTCCGTTGTGGAAAACTGCACTTTGAAGCACACAGAGACATACATATTCACACATACCCAATATACAGTATGTGTCCTGCTTTCAATGCAGTTTTGAACTGCTTGGCTCTCCTCTTTTGTGAAGTTCTACTGTCCTCTACTGGTCAAAAGGAAAAATTATAATGGCAAAATAGAAGAATCTTGCTTTAACTATCTTATCAGTTTCAGCTTCTTTTCCAAATGATTGTTTCCCGGATTCTTGGTTTCACCCATGACCATTCACTTGAAATAAAAATCAATTTGGAGATCTGTTTATAATAGAAAACGTGGGTGCTCCATCACTAGTGGATTTAAGAAGAGGTTGGACAGCAGGGGTGGGTTCTACTTACCTTTACTACTGGTTCGCATCGCGTCCGCGCCCACTCTTCTGCACATGCGCAGATCACCTATGATGACGTCCAGGTCAGTGGGCGGAGCCTCCCACTGGTTTTACTACTGGTTCTTGCGAACCAGTCCGAACAGCCATTTGTCTGAAATTGTATAGGATCTCCTGTTTAAGCAGGGGGTTGGACTAGAAGACCTTCAAGGTCCCTTCCAATTCTGTTACTCTGTTCTGTTGTGTTAAAGGCCTTGAGTTGTTATGGAGCTTACAGAAGCTGATTTTTGGATTTGTATGTACCTTCTGTATCCAACAGACCTTTATTTCCCAACCTTGGCAACTTGAAGACCTGTAACCTGCACAATCTCAGAGAGACTTCAACTCCCAATATTCCGGGGGTGGAATCCAGCAGGTTCTGACAGGTTCTGGAGAACCGGTAGCAGAAATTTTGAATAATTCGGAGAATTGGCAAATGCCACCTCTGACTGGCCCCAGAGTGAGGTGGGAATGGAGATTTTGCAATACTCTTCCCCCAGGAGTGGGGTGGGAATGGGGATTTTACAGTATCCTTCCCCTGGAGTGGGGAGGGAATGGAGATTTTGCAGTATTCTTCCCCTGCCACGCCCACCAAGCCATGCTCACCAAGTCACACCTTGCCTACCAAGCCACGCCCACAGAACTGGTAGTAAAAAAATTTGGATTTCACCACTGCAGTATTCCTATACTGACTGGGGAATTCTGGGTATTGAAGTCCACACATCTTACAGTTGCCAAGGTTGAGAAACACTGCAACAACGAATGGCATCATTTTCCTCCAGCATTACACAGCAATCAACCATGACTTCACTTAAAGGGAACATATAGTTATCAACTAACAATAAATCACCAACTATTCACCAACAGGAAGTTCAATGAGCACGGAAAAAGAACAGCAGATTCCCAATTTGCTGCCCATTCCATAATTGTCAACATCAATTTCACACAGGAAGCAACCAATATCTAGATATGAATCAACTACCACATCATCAGCCAAATAAATAATTCCCCGATTGCAAGATACTAGTCACTGACAAAACAACACCGCTCACAGAACCATCACCTTGAAATATGTCAACCGATCAACTAATCAACCAACTTCTGGTCTGATGGAGTTACCTACTAGAACAGGAGTGTCCAATCTTGGCAACTTTAAGACCTATGGATTTCAACTCCCAGAATTCCCCGACCAGCCATGATTGGCTGACTAGGGAATTCTGGGAGTTGACGTCCACAAGTCTTAAAGTTGCCAATGTTGGACAGCCATGTACTAGAATAATGAAAACTCTACAGCACAAAATCCAGATTCCAAGAACACCGATGATACAACATGGCAACCCTCAGCTACACAGCTTTGCAACCAGGTTACATTCCCTAATACAGTGATTTTTGCCATTGTGTGCCAGGAGAGGGGCGGGGAGGCGCACACACACGTGCCCACAGCCATAATTCTATGCGCCCCGTCCCCGTGCATACACACATGAACTCCTCCCCCACTACTCCTGGCACGCAATGGCCCAGTGAGCCCATTTTTCTCTCTCACCTGGCTCCAGAGCCTCTCTAGGAGTCTGGGGAGGGCGAAAATGGCCTTCCCCATCCCCCTGGAGGTCCTCCAAAGGCCAGAAACGGCCCGTTTGCCAACTTCTGGTGGGACCGGAAGTTGGCAAACAGGCCATTTTCAGCCTCCGGAGGATCTCCGGGGGGGTGGAGAAGGCCGTTTTCACCGTCCCCAGACTCCTAGAGAGGCTCTGGAGGCTGGGGACAACAAAAAACGGGCCTTCTGGTCCCACCGGAAGTTGGCAAATGGGCCATTTCTGGCCTCTGGAGGGCCTCCAGGGGGTTGGGAAAGGCCATTTTCGCCCTCCCCAGACTCCTAGAAAGGCTCTGGAGCCAGGTGAGAGAGAAAAATGGGCCTTCCCCACCACCCCCCGAGGCCCTCCAGAGGCAGGAAACAACCTGTTTCCCTACTTCTGTTGGGCCCAAAAGGCCTGAAAATCAGCTGGCCAGTGCACACATGTGCACCGGAGCTGAGCTCGTGTGCCCACTGATATGGCTACACGTGCCACCTGTGGCACGCGTGCCACAGGTTCGCCATCACAGCCCTAATAAGTCCCTTCATAATCTCCAGACTCGAAGAGATGGGCAAAAGTCAGGAAAATGAAACATCTCTTACCTCAGTATATTGAAATCTCTTTGCCTGAGAATTGAAGCCTATCTTTTCAGTGTTGGAAATCACTTTGGCATAGCATTTGAGAGGGATGGAAGAATAGGGTGCACCTAAGAAAGAAAATCGATGAGCATCAGGTGAGGATGGAGCAAAGCCAGGTTCAAATTTCTGCTCAGCCATGAAACCCATTGGATGGGTATAGCTTTGCCATTCAATTTCGGCATTGCTAAGGAACTGCAGTGTTTCGGGATACCTGTCTACAGGTAGTCCTTGATTTACAACTATTCATTCAGTGACTGTTCGAAGTTAACATGGCTTTAAGAAAACAAACAAAACACAATTACTTTTATTTCTACTTGGAAACCGCTTCTGGACTTTGTGCTTCAAGTGGAAAAAAATGTAACTTTGATTTTGGGTTTTACCGATTAGATAGATTTGTTGTTATAGAAATGACTAGTTTTAAAGGTAAAGGTAAAGGTTCCCCTCACACATATGTGCTAGTCGTTCCCAACTCTAGGGGGCGGTGCTCATCTCCATTTCAAAGCCGAAGAGCCAGCGCTGTCCGAAGACATCTCCGTGGTCATGTGGCCGGCATGACTCAATGCCAAAGGCGCACGGAACGCTGTTACCTTCCCACCAAAGGTGGTCCCTATTTTTCTACTTGCATTTTTTAAGTGCTTTCAAACCGCTAGGTTGGCAGAAGCTGGGACAAGTAACGGGAGCTCACCCCGTTACACGGCACTAGGGATTCGAACCGCTGAACTGCCGACTTTTCAATCGACTAGCTCAGTGTCTTAGCCACTGAGCCACCGTGTCCCTCTGGCTAGTTTATACTATTATGTAAAAGTAAAAAGCTGAGGTTTTATGTTACTATCTTATTCTACAGCACCAAAGAGAGTTGGAAGTCAATGCCTTTTCTTTCTTTTTCTCTTTATTTCTACACTTTTCCCTTACTTTTTCCCTCTCCTATTTTTCCTATTATTTGCTTTTGTATTTTTTTTTATTTCATATTATAAACCGAATAAAAAGGAAAACAAAGTGATTAAAAAAGGATTGGTTATCCCTTTTTTCAAAGCCATTTAACTTTGAACGGTCACTAAACATCTGGTCTTAATCAAGAATTCCCTGCACTAGCACCACATCACTATAATAGAAATGTAACATATACTACTCTGGTTTCTCTTCAGATAGTAAAAATCTTTTGTTAGGGCAGATATAATCTTGGGGCAATGGATTAAGCCAGGGGTGTCAAACTCATGGCATCGCATTGTCGTCACATGACGTATCGTGACTTTTTCCCCCTTCGCTAAACCGGGGGTGGGCGTGGCCAGCACGTGACGCATCTAGCCTGCAGGCCGCGAGTTTGACACCCTTGGATTAAGCTATTTCTAAACTTCCCATTCTCTGGTCTGGCTTCTACCAGGGCAGTATTTAGATTCCATGTCTTACCTCTTTCTGTATTGTCAGGAGTTGGATTCAGATTAGCAGGTTTAGTTACGAAGGCCTGAGACGCCGAACTCATGTCAAAGTTGGTCTCTATGACAGACAATTATTGCAAACTTGGTGAGTGGATCCTTCTTCACTCCATCATCATGCTTCTAAAAACTGAGCGCACACATCACGTTATTACAACCAGGTAAGATCAGAAAGGGAGCATTTTATAGCCACTAGAAGCAGGGGTGCTATTCAGCCGGTTCTGACAGGTTCTAGAGAACCGGTAACAGAAATTTTGAGTAGTTCGGAGAACCAGCAAATACCACCTCTGGCTGGCCCCAGAGTGGGGTGGGAATGGGGATTTTGCAATATCCTTCCCCCAGGAGTGGGGAGGGAATAGAGTTTTCGCAATATCCTTCCCCCGGGAGTGGGGAGGGAATGGAGATTTTGCAGTATCCTTCCCCTGCTACGCCCACCAAGCGACACCACACCCACCAAGCCACACCCACAGAACCGGTACTAAAAAAATTTGAATTCCACCACTGACTAGAAACACAGAACCATTTCACTGGCCCAGTTTTTGCCAATGGGGGGAAAAATGATACCTGCTTGCTATTTGGAAATCGACCATTTTGCCAACTTTGTTGGACAAAACTAAGACAATGCGTCAACGGCAGGATGCATTTTCAGTCTGGGTGGTGGCACCATCTACAAAGGTTCCCTTCCTGCTTCATCCTATTACAGAGTTTCTCAACCTTGGTAATGTTAGATGTGTGGACTAAAGCAGGGCTGGGCATGGTTAGTTCTTGGATGGGAGCCCACTCAGAAGTCTCCCAACTGTAGGCCTGATTGCAAGCCAAAAAAAATATTCCAGTGACAACAAACTTGGAAATGATAGCTAAGAAAACTGAATAGTCACTCCAATAAAATTGTTTTCGAGACCCATTTCTAAAATACGTGATTAATTTATCTTCCTTGGCAGATAAAGGAGTGAGGGCTGCAGCTGAGGGAATACTTTTCAATATACCCTCCCTTGATTTTGTTTGGCTTAAGATGGTGTTACCTGGAATTTTAGACTTCGTTATTGGCTTTTTAATAAAGGAGATATTAGCATTTTAGCTTGACGTCCCTGCATTTTTTTCTTGAAGTTCAGGAAACCATGTTTTCCTTTTAGCCAAAAAAAAAAAAAAAAGCCATTTCTTCTTTTGGTATGCAACAGTGGTGGGTTGCTCCCAGTTCTGTCCAGTTCTTTAGAACCGGTAGTAAAAGAGCCGTGAGGCACCGCCCACCTGCCCGGATGTCATAATTGATGATCTGCACATGCGCAGAAGCTCCCATTGTGAACCGGTAGTAAAGGTAAGTAAAACCCACCCCTGGTATGCAAGAACTTGTCTTTACAACAATTAAATAAAAGGGAGCATATTCTGGAAGTCCTTCAATACATTTGCAAATATTAAGAAAGATACAAGCTCAACTAGAAAGGGGGGTGACATAATCCATAAATTTGCCAATTGTGCAATGTTATCAAAGATCTCTACTGTCCAACTCTCACATCTAATTAAGGTCTCCGATTGTTCAATTTGTTGCTTTCAGAAGCTTCACATATAAATGAATGGATCTAACGTATTTAATTTCTATTATTTTTAATATTTTTTAAATTGTTTTTTAATGTTTTTGCTTTTACAATGTTGTAAACGACCCAGTCATCTGAGAGTGAGATGGACAGCATATAAATTTAATAAAGAAAGAAACGTATCATTTGTTCCTGCACCCTATAAAAAGACTAGACATTCCCCCCTCACCTTAATAAAGCTTTTTGCTTTGCCTGGAGGATTCATAACTCTTGTTTTCGGGAGGGGGAAAAAAAAGCCATCTTTGCAAAAATTAATCTCTCTCCCAAATTCAAATTGCATTTTTATCAGTTCCATGCCAAACTTGGAGCCTGAGTTTTAAAGGCGACAATAGGGCAGAGCAATGGTGAAATCCATTTTTTTTTTACTACCGGTTCTATGGGCATGGCTTGGTGGGCGTGGTGTGGCTTGGTGGGTGTGGCAGGGGAAAGATACTGCAAAATCTGCATTCCCATCCCACTCCAGGGGAAGGATATTGCAAAATCTCCATTTCAGTGGTGGTTTGCCCCCGGTTCAGACCGGTTCGCAAGAACCGGTAGCAAAACCGGTGGGAGGCTCCACTCACCGACCCGGGTGTCATCAGGAAGCTTCTGCGCATGTGCAGAAGCGTGCATGCCAGTGGTGGGTTGCCCCTGGTTTGCACTGGTTCTATAGAACTGGTAGTAAAACCAGCGAGAGGCTCTGCCCACCGACCCTGATGTCATCAAAACATTTCTGTGCATGCGCAGAAGCTTCTGCACTTGCGCACGAGCAAAGCGAGAGCGTGCGCGCAGCCCCGTTGCAAACCGGTAGTAAAGATAAATAGAACCCATCCCTCCTCCATTCCCACCCCACTCTGGGGCCAGCCAGAGGTGATATTTGCTCCAAACTATTCAAAATTTCTGCTACCGGTTCTCCAGAACTGTCAGAACCTGCTGGATTTCACCTTTGGGGCAGAGACAAAATCCAACAGGTTTTCTCAGATACTGTGATTCAATTCCTTCCCTGCCATTTTCTTGACTTGGCTTTCCTTGAAGAGGTGACACCTTTTCTCTGATTTTGGAATGGGGATTGTGTCTGATTTGTAATTGCGTTTTTTTGGGGGGGTTGTTTAAATATTTGGGCCACACTTATGTCAGAAGGGTTTTGTAAGCCCTGCGGAAAAGGATCTTGGGGGCTGCCTTGGGTGGTGGGGTTGTAGGTTGCCCACCCCTGTCTTAAGACTGCATCTGTGGACAATATGCTCACCATCTCTGCATGGACAGGTTTACCTAGAAAAGGCCCCCTCCCTGCTGCCAATTGCTTACCTGGTTCCCAGAGCTACCTCTAGGCGAGACACTGGAGCATGTATACCACCTGTTGCCCTAGGCAACCGGAGAACAAAGGCAGCTCCTCCAATTCGTTCCACTCCTACTTCCGCTAGTTTCCAAATGGACCAATCACAGAGCAGGACTCTGGAGAAATATTTTCTTCCAGACTCAGCTGCTTGGGTTGGGATGCTCTCTTGGGAAAGCAGCAAAACAGCGATTTTTAAAAGGCGCCCATCCATTGCAGCTTTCCTATGATACAGTATCTCAAGACCTAAAATGAACAGTTAACATCAAAAACATCACCAAAAAAGCACAACAAAAAATGTTCTTTCTGTACCAACTCAGAAAGCTCAAACTGCCCAAGAAGCTGCTGATTCAGTTCCACAGAGGAATTATTGAGTCTGTCATCTGCACCTCCATAACTGTCTGGTTTGGCTCTGCAACCCAACAACCCAACAGACTTCAGAGGATAATTAGAACTGCAGAAAAAACAATTACTGCCAACCTGCCTTCCATGGAGGACCTGTATACTGCACGAGTCAAAAAGAGGGTTGTGAAAATATTTACAGACCCCTCGCATCCTGGACATAAACTGTTTCAACTCCTACCCTCAAAATGAAGCTATAGGGCACTGCACACCAGAACAACTAGACACAAGAACAGTTTTTTCCCGAACGCCATCACTCTGCTAAACAAATAATTCCCTCAACGCTGTCAAATTATTCACTAAGTCTGCAGTATTATTACTGTTAGCCTTCTCATCATTCCTATCACCAATCTCCTCCCACTTATGACTGTATGACTGTAACTTATTGCTGTATCCTTACAATTTATATTGATTGTTTCCTAGTATGGTTTGATCGCTTGTTTGTTCCCTGTGACTATCATTAAGAGTTGTACCTTAGGATTCTTGACAAATGTATCTTTTCTTTTTATGTACACTGAGAGCATATGCACCAAAGACAAATTGCTTGTGTGTCCAATCACACTTGGACAATAAAGAATTCTATTCTATGTATGTGATATATATATATATATATATATATATATATATATATATATATATATATATATATATAATGATATATTGTATAATTTCATATCATATAGCGAGAATGCGGAAGAGACAGCAAAAAAACTGATTACAGAATTATAGATGTCAACTGGTGCCAATTTTTGGGAGATATCTATAACAATTATTGGAAAAATACATTTACTCACATACTTATCGGCTCTTCACTCGTGTAAATCAGGGAGTGATCCTAACGGTTTGAGATTATGTATTTTCATAACAGGGATGTTATTATTCATGATTAATGTCAATATTATTTTTAATTTATTGTATGTCTATTGCTGGTCGATGACCGTAATAAAGTTTTTTTTAAAAAATTCATATCATATAGCAATAGCATTTAGATTTATTTACCGCTTCAGAGTGCTTTACAGCCTTCTCTAAGCGGTTTACAAGAGTCAGCCCATTGCCCCCAACAATCTGGGTGCTCATTTTTAATCATGTGTATTTGATCCTAGACTTTCTCAAGCTGGGTGATCAGCTCAAATCTTATGGAACTGGTTGGGTTTTTTTAAGTGCCAGATGACCCAGGTATTTTCTGTGATGGGTGAGTAAAGATAGACTTTACTGCTCAAAGCAAGTTTGTTTTATAACTTTTATTCCCTCCTTCAGAGGTGCATCGGTTTAATGATGCTTTTCCTTGTTAAACAAATTGTTAAATATTCCCTCCAATATTTTAAAGATTTTATTGTATTTCTACCAAACCCAGAAAATGCCCATTTTGACTATAAGCCCTCCAATACGTTATAGAATAATGATGTATCTTGTTTGAGATAAGAATAAATGCCAGCAATATATCCTTTCGTTGCCTAAGTGCAAAGATATTGGGGGGAAACGATTTCTGACTTTCTCCCTTTTGTGCTGCATAGAATTGTTACTAAGTTAGAGGATCCAGTTCTCTGGAGAAAACTGCAGTGGAAGATGGAAGGAAACAGAAGAGGACAATCAGGAGCAAGATGGATGGACTCAGAGTGACCGTGGGTACAATATTGGAAGATCTGAAAAAAAATCAGGTTAGGGACAGATTGTCATGGAAAAAATCTAGCTATATGGAAAAAAATATCAATTTCCACAATGGAAAAACCGATGGAAAAAATGATGGAGTTGGCAGAAATGACAAAATTATCAGCTTTAATTAAAGAAAAGAAGATATCCAGGTTTGTTTCTCCTTGGAAATCTGCTCTGGACTTTATATCCAAAACTGAAAGATATGAAACTTTGATTTTGAGTTTTGATTATTAGGTTAGTTTTTTTTTTATTAAACATTTTTTAAAAACAAAAAGAAAGCTTTAACCCTTTTTCTGTTTCAACAGTTTTGCATCAGTCAAGAATTTCATACTTATACATTTTTTCCTCCCTTATTCCTACTATATTTTATACTTCTAATATTTATTTATTTACATATATACATAACAATACCTGTGTACCCACTTCTATTTCTAAAGTTTTTGTTTCCTCATATTAGCAATTATACTTCAACTCCTATTTCGACCATTATTTAATTTTTCCCTTTATCTCTCTCCTCCAACCATTCATACAATTTCTCCCACACTAACTAATATTCTGTTTCCTCTTTTTCTTGTATCTCCTTTGTTAATTTGTCCATCTCCGCACATTCCAAAAAATTTTGGATCAGATTATCTTTGGATGGTATATCATCATTTTTCCAATTCTGAGCGTAGAATATGGATATGGATAATTAAATAATTAGGTTAGTTTGTTGTTATAGAAGTGGCTTTACTTTGTACTCCCTTCCCCTTTCTTTTCCCTCCCCTGTTCCCTGATTACCTTTTTTCTATTTATATTTTATATTATAATAAGCTTTAATAAAAAGAGAAAATCTACCTTTGTGGTTATTAGGAGTCGAAAAATGACTTGATGACACATTATGATATACAACTAAGGTGCTTCCTACTAGTGATTTTACATCATAGCAGGTTAATGTAAAATTCTAAACTCAACAGAAGAGAAAATTTGTAGTTCAGGCTTCAAGTATGGAGTCCTTGGTGCTCTTTGAACTTGGTGGGTTTTTTTCCAGATATCGCACTGATGATGTTGGACAATGAAACCGCTGCAATATTTGAAGGGTTGTCACACAGAAGAGTCAACCTATTCTTCAAAGCACCTGAGGGCAGGACAAGAAGTAACAGACAGAAGCTCATTAAAGGAAGACCCAACCTAGAATTAAGGAGAAATTTCCTGACAGTGAGAAAAATCAATCAGTGAAACGCCTTGCCTTCAGAAGTTGTGGGTGCTCCCATCACTGGAGGTTTTTAAGTAGAGACTGGGACAGCCATTCATCTGAAACGGCATAGGGTCTCCTCCTTGAGCAGAACCAAAGACCCTACTGCTAAACCTCAGTCAGGTTTGACCACCTGCTGCCAGACATTTGCCCCCGTGCCCACTAGAGGCCGCCCAACTCAAAGGAAGGCGCTACCTGTGTCCAGCCCCCCATCCCACCCCCAGCATCTCACCCTCTCCGAGCCGGCTGCAGTGATGACAGAGGAGCCGCGCCAGCTTCCGCCCGCTTTGCTTCCCTCTTCCTTCTCCAGCGTTGACCCCGACTTAGGGGAGAACCTGGAGAATGGGTATGTACAGATGGTACCCTTATCTCTAAGCACCTGCACGGCAGTGGAAAGTCCCCAGGAGAACGCCTAATGCCATCCCCACCCCCCAAGAACCTCCCTGTGCACCAAGAACATCTTGATATCTACTGTGTGCCAGATTTTCTGGATGATTCCTGTATCTCTGATGTGCCAGCCTTGCTGGGTGGAGTATAAAGAAAGGTATAAATATACGAATCTCTGTTTGTGTGTGTGTGTTCGGGTCTTCCTCTCTGTTAGAGGGGCCCCTGAATAAACACATAATCTAAAACAGGGGTCTCCAACCTTGGCAACTTTAAGACTTGTGGACTTCAACTCCCAGGATTCTTCAGCCAGCTTTGGTTTGCTGGCTGAGGAATCCTGGGAGTTGAAGTCCACGAGTCTTAAAGTTGCCAAGGTTGGAGACCCCTGACCTGGAGGACTGAGAATCTCCCCAGACATTCCCAAATGGCTGTTTTGCCCTTTTCCCAAAGGGGCCTCCAGGTTGGGGTTTTAAAGTTGCCAAGGTTAGAGACTCCTGATCTAAAAGGCAATTCAAATTCAATTCAAATCTTTATTGTCCGTGCCCAACATATGCAAAGCTGGCTGAGGAATCCTGGAAGTTGAAGTCCACAAGTCTTAAAAGTTGCCAAGGTTGGAGACCCCCTGATCTAAAAGGCAATTCAAATTCAATTCAAATCTTTATCCTCGGTGCACAACATAGGTACAATGAGATTGGTCCCTCAGTGCACCCCACAACCCAACCCAACACAACACAACACAGAAGACAGAAAATCCCATACCCAATAAATCATATTAACAACCCACCCACCCCACCAGTCCTATTGCACCTGCGTGAACATGTTACACCAGGGGGTCCCCAAACTTGGCCGCTTTAAGACTTGTGGACTTCAACTCCCAGAATTCTCCAGCCAGCTATGCTTAAAGCTATGCTGGCTGGAGAATTCTGGGAGTTGAAGTCCACAAGTCTTAAAGCGGCCAAGTTTGAAGACCTCTGTGTTACACAGTTGCGCCGGCCCTGCCAGCCCATCTTTGGTCTTTGGTCTTTGGATCTGCTTGCCAAACCATCACCTCCCCAGCTGGCACCAACCCAGGCCAGCCGGCCCTTGGAGAAGCCAGAGATATCCGGGGCGGGGGAGTGGCGGCTTCCGGATCCAATCGGACGCTTGTTTTGCTTGGGAGAGCCAGAAACCGGCTGCTTGTTTTCTCTCCTGGGCTGCAAAGGCAGCAGCAGCAGCAGCTGAAAAGCGGAAGCAGGTGAGAGTGCGAGGTGCTTGTCAGACGACCGGAGTGAAGACTTTGTGGTCTGAAAGATGGGTGGGGGGTGGGGGTGGGGGAAAAAGAGGGGTGGGTTATGCTGATCTAGCAGCCCCGGAGCCAGGAGCTGCATTTATTTAGGATTTTTGACTCACCTGTGCCACCCGGCAGAGGCCACCTGGGTGATTGCTGTAAAAAAAAAAAGCGATTTCCACCCCGAAGCTGCAGTGGGAAAGTCCTCGAGATAAAAAGCGGAGGGAAATCCTCGTAGGAAACTTTGACCGACCGGTCCCTGATCCCGGGCTTTAGCGAAGGTTTCCTAAAGGACTCCAGAGAAGGGATTTCAGGTGAGGCAAGCTCCTTTGTAAAATGTTGCAGAAAGGGTGGGTTGTGTTTATAGGTGCACGGGGAAACTTAAAAAGGACATCTAATATACTCTGTGTGTGTGTGTGTGTGTGTGTATCGATATATATCTCTATATATATCTCTATATCTATATCTATCTATCTATCTCTATCTATCTATCTATCTATCTATCTATCTATATAGAAAAGGACAAACAAAAAGTTGGAAAGAGAAAAGGGGTGTAGCAAGGAGGAAAAATAAAATTGGGTACTTGTGTACAAGAATAGAATAGGAATAGAAATAGAAATAGAAATAATAGAAATAGAAATAATAGAAATAGAAATAGAAATAAATAGAATAGAATTCTTTATTGTCCAAGTGCATAATTTGGAATTTGTCTTTGGTGCATAAGCTCTCAGTGTACATAAAAAGAAAAGATACATTCGACAAGAATCATAAGGTACAATTCTTAATGATAGTCATAGGGTACAAATTAGCAATCAGGAAACAATATCAATATAAATGGTAAGGATACAAGCAACAAAATTACAAGAAGGGACAATCAGTCATGTGTTTTAACCCTGATTCTTAGAATGGAAAAAGTTGAGATGAAGGGAGGTTGGATGGATGGAGGTTTCTTAAATTTGATGCGTTTGTGTTTTTGTAAAGGAGTATTCTAAAACTGCAGTTTTCAAACGTTTTGGTCTTGTGCCCTCCCCCTCCTCCCTTTACAGTCTAAAAATGATGGAGGAACCCAAAGAGATTATGTGGGGTTATAGCTGTTCATGTGTGTGATGTGTTAGAATTTAAAACTGAGAAATGTTAAGATGTTGTAATATTTATTTTACTTCACAGACACCCCCCTGCCCTCCCCCAGAAATGGGAACTGCAGGGTTGAAAGTTGGGTACAGTACTGATATGAAATTGGCAGAGGTGGCAAAACTGACCACTTTGATTAAAGAAAAGACTTTAGGCTGATTTTCTTTTTACTTGGAAACCAATTATGGGGCTTTTGTGAGAAAGGGAAAGAAATGAAATGTTGTTTTGGGGTGTGATGGTTAGTATTACAGCCATTTGTCTGAAATGGTATAGGGTCTCCCACTTGAGCAGGGGGTTGGATAAGAAGACCTCCAAAGCAGGGGGTGAAATCCACCAGGTTCTGACAGGTTCTGGAGAACTGGTAGCGGAAATTTTGAGTAGTTTGGAGAACCAGCAAATACCACCCTGGCTGGCCCCAGAGTGGGGTGGGAATGGAGATTTTGCAGTATCCTTCCCCTGCCATGCCCCCAAGCCACACCACGCCCACCAAGCCATGCCCACAGAACCGGTAGTAAAAAAATTTGGATTTTACACCACTGTTCCAAAGTCCTTTCTAACTGTTATTCTCTGTTGTTGTATTAATTATCTGGGGTTATAGAAATAATGTAGACAAATGTAACCTTAGAGTAAGCGTTTGATTATTATTTAACTATTTATCATATCAAAGAAAGTCAGAAATCATTCCTTTTTATTTTTCTTTCTTTTTGGAATTTTATCTTTTTGTCTTGGTCTTTTATTTGTTAATAAATTTTACAAATAAATAAACACATACAGGTATCCTAATTTATCATTGTAATAGAGCCTGGAATTTCCACCGTAAATCATAACAGACATAAGTCAAGGCACCTACATGACTGGATGTGATTGTATGACTTTTTTTTGCTGTAGTCATTAAATGAGTGTGGTGGTCATTAAGTGAACAATAACAATAACCTCTAACAGCTAGAGGCTAGCTGAACCTAACTCTAATGTTAAACAAATCAAATGTATTCTTATGGGTATTTTTTGCTGGAAATCAGCCAAAAGGCCAAAAATTGGCAAAAAATGCGACCACAGAATGTTACTAACTTAAGAACTGCAGTGATTCATTTAACAAGTGTGGCAAAAACAGTCATAACATGGGGCAAAATTCATTTAACAAATGACTCACTTAGCAACAGAAATTGGGGTTTCCAATTGTGATCATAAGTCGAGGCCTATCTGTATGCACCTCCAGAGAAGAAAAACTCACCTGTTCTTATCAAATTACGTATGTTTACCCTTAAGATGTTTCTCTCCAAAACCTGTTTCCCTGCTGTTTTTGTCTCCTGACCCTGGTGTACTGTCCTTTGGAGCAAAACAAACAAATCTCTATTTTCAGCATGACCACTCTGTGGAAGTTTCGAGATGGCCATCAAATCTTCTCAACCATCTCCTCTTCCGGTTTAGCCAGTGCGTTCTAGACAAGGCAGATGCCAAGAACAGCAGCTGGAAGTTTCTGCACTCCGATCGTGTCCAGCTGGATAAGGTTCAGTCACTCTCTAGAGCAGGGGTCCCCAAACTTGGCAGCTTTAAGACTTGTGGACTTCAACTCCCAGAATTCTCTGGCCAGCATAGCTGGACCTCTGCTCTAGAGACCCATAGAGGTTTTGCCCATAGGCAAATCCTTAGGATTTGATCTGTGATGGTTGTGTTATTTTATTTATTTTATTTATTTATTTTATTTTATTTTGTTGTTCAATTAAATTTATTGCCCACCTATCTTACCACAGAGAAACTCTGAATGGCCTTACAGAGGCAATTGGAGACAAGGCTAGCCTTTGAAACAGGATGTTTTAATAGGAGAGTGCGGAGTGCTGCTTTGGATCTAGTGGGATTTACAAGGTAGCAACTGAAGCTCCAGGGAAAGGCCAAACACCTGTTTATCCTGCATCCCGGCCTTCTGCACTCCTATAACTGAAAAAAGGCTGTGGTGGAAGATGAGGCGAGAAGACACAACTTCACTCTCGCATCTGAGACGTAGACCTACGAGCATATTCTCATTTAAACATATGTGCGAAAAATGTTGGGGGGGACCAGCAAAGAGATGGTGGTGCCTAGGGAATGGTCAAATATGAGACAGCATGGCCCAGGGCTGCATAATGAGCAGAGCAACTGGCTCAGAAGACACCTTCCCTAGTTTTTCACGCTGTAAAGGTGACAGCAAGACACAGGTCATCAGTCCTCAAGTTACAACTGTTTGTTTAGTGACTATTCAAAATTACAGCAGCACTGAAAAAAAGTTACCATCTTTTTCAGAGTATAAGACGCATCTTAGTTTTTGGGGAGGAAAATAAGAAAAAAGCTGATTGGCAGGTGGATCGGCCTCCCAGAATATCCCCAATCAGCTGTTCCCAGAGGTGAATTTTAGCAACAGGTTCTTTGGTTGTGAGCTCTGTGCCTTGCTTTTTTTTTTTTTTTTGGCTTTTTTTCTGCCTCTGAAACTTCTGAAACTCTGTTTCAGAAAAAACTTTTTTTCCTGCCTCTGAAAGCCTCCGAAACAGAGCTTTAGAAAAAAAAGCCTCTGAAGCTCTGTTCGAGGGCTTTTTTTCTGAAGCTTCGTTGCTGATGCTTTTTTCAGCCTCTGAAACCTCCGTTTGAGAAGCCGGGGCTACATTCGGAGTATAAGACGCACCCAGATTTTCACCCTCTTTTTTGGGGTCTTATACTCCGAAAAATACGGTACTTACAACCTTTTTTTCACACTTATGACCACTGCAGCATCCCCCATGGTCATGTGATCAAAATTCTTGGTAACTGGCACGTATTTATGACGGTGGCAGTGTCCCGGGGTCATGTGATCACTTTTTGCAGCCATCTGACAAGCAAAGACAACGAGGAAGCCAGATTCACTTAACAACCCTGTTACCAATTTAATAACTGTAGTAAGAAACTTGACAACTATGGCAAGAAACCTAAAATGGGGCAAAACTCACTTAACAACTGTCTCGTTTAGCAACCCATTTTAGGCTCAATTGTGGTTGTGAGTCAAGGACTGTCTCTACAAGGCTCTGTTAATACAACTTTACAATAAAGTAAAATATGCTTCTCTGACTGTTTTTTCTCTCTACCTGTTGAGTCTGATATCAATCTTGTTAGTCTAAAAGCATAATTCTCCCGCTGTCACCTATACAGCCTAATACCTTAGGGAGGTTTCTCCTGAGACAGAATGGAGTAGTGAAGAAGATGCTGGACTAGGAAGGAGAAAATCTACATTTAAGTCCATTCTGAGCCCTGGAAGTCCACTGGCCAACTTTGAGCCATTCCATCCCAGCTTAACTTGCCCCATTGCTTTGCTCTATGGAAATTATGGAAGGAGTGATACATATATCTACGTACGTTCCACATCCAGATAGACAGGACAGCAGAGTAGAGTAGAGTAAGAATAAGAATAAGAATAAGAATAAGAATAAGAATATAGGAATGGAATGGAATGGAATGGAATGGAATGGAATGGAATGGAATGGAATGGAATGGAACGGAATAGAATACTTTATTGGCCAAGTGTGATTGGAGACGCAAGGAATTTGTCTTGGTGCATAGGCTCTCGGTGTACATAAAGAAAAATAAAATACATTCATCAAGAATCATAAGATACAACACTTAGTGATAGTCATAGGTTACTAATAAGCAATCAAATCGTACTAGGAAACAAATAAAACAATATAAATTGTAAAGATTCAAGCAACATGCTCATAGTCATAAGTGGGAAGAGATAGGTACTAGGAAGGATGAGAAGAATAATAGTAATGCAGTTTTAGTAAATAATTAGACAATGTTGTGGGAGTTAGTTGTTTAGCAGAGTGATGGCATTCGGGAAAAAACTGTCCTTGTGTCTAGTTGTTCTGGTTTGCAGTGCTCTATGGTGTCGTTTTGAGGGTAGGAATTGAAACAGTTTATGTCCAGGATGTGAGGGGTCTGTAGATATTTTCACAGCCCTCTGTTTGACTCGTGCAGTATACAGGTCCTCGGTGGAAGGCAGGTTGGTAGCAATTGTTTTTTCTGCAGTTCTTAAGTACTTTGGAAAGCCACGATCCTGTAGTGGGCTAGACACGAAGGCACCAAGATTGAAGTTGACTTCCAGCCTTGGAAAGTTCTTTAAAGTGAATCTGGGCCACTTCCTCCCTTTCAGCCTAAGTGCCACTATGGTGCATTGGTGAAGGTGCTGGAGTGACGGGCACGGAGACCCGGGTTCTTATTCAGCCACAGAAGCTTCCTATCGATCTTAGGCCCAGTCCTTCTCTTTCAACCCAACTACTTTCTCAGAATTGTTATTGCGTTGAAAAAGACAAGTAGTAGCCCTCAACTTGGGACCGGAATTTCCTTTGCTAAGCAAGGCAATTGTTAAGTGAGTACCACCTGGTTTTAGAACCTTTTTTGCCATGGATGTGAATCACATGGTTGTTGTTAAACAAATGGAGTTTCTGTTGTGGTCCGCCAGCAGCCTGCAGAGCTGGCAGCGGAGTCGGACAGTGAGGAGGCTGGGGAGGAACATGAGCCAGTCCTGGAGTCTGGGGAAGGTCTGGACGAGGGCTCTGCATCAGAGGCAGAGATGGGGCCAGGCCCATCGGAAAGTGATGTGCAGATTCCGGAGCCTCCAGAGGCTGACAGCAGTGAGGCAGAGGAACAGGAGGAGCCTGTTCCTAGTGCACGCATGAGAAGAGCTGGCAGAAGGCAAGAGCAGCTAAAGCAAAAGGGACGACTCGGGAGTAGGGCCAAGAGATGATTGGCCCCTCCCATAAGACTTAAAAGACCAGCAACGGCTCTTGGGCTCTTTGCTGGAAAACAACATTGATAGACTTGTTCTTGTCTTGCTGTAATCTCTGGTCGGCATCTTCTGCTTCTGAACTTTTGCCAAGAGAAGCCTTTGGCAGTTTGCCTAATTATACCAAGGTTGGTGATTAGACTGAAGAATTTGTGCTATGAAGACTTTGTTTTGATTTAATTTGGACTACGCTGAGAATGAGTTAATTCTCAGCTGTTCTAATAAAGTCTGTTTTTGAACTCATTGCGTCTGATAATACCTACTTGGGCCTGGGTCACAACAGTTTCCCCCATAGACTTAGCTTGTTGGGAGCTGGCTGGATGGCGATCACGTGACCCTGGGATGCTGCTGGTAAATACATACTGGTTGCCAAGCATGTGGATTCTGGTCATGTGACCACGAGGATGCTGTGACTTATGTGAGGACCAGTTGCAAGTCATTTTTTTTTCAGTGCTGTTGTAACTTCAAATGGTCACTAAATAAATGGTTGTAAGTCAAGGACTACCCGTAGTAGGGGAGAGTATGCCACTTCCAGAGGCTGCACCAAAAGTGGGGTGTAGACTTAACATTGATTCATATTTAATGGACTTCCATACTCTTTCAAAGCTCTCTGACAATCAGTCTGGGAATATCAACTCATGGCAAATAACATTGGTACATTTTTATTTATTAGATGTATATGCGGCCCATCTCACTGCCAGGCAACTCTGGGAGGCTTACAGCATCGTAAAACATAATATAAAACAATTCAAGGCTTACAAACATTAAGCATTAAAAAGAAACTGGATAAAAGGGATCAGTACCGATCAAGGAGAATATTTGTAGCTCAGGCTTGAAATGAGAGGGATCCTTGGTGCTCTCAGACATTTCATTACCTGACTAGGTAAGTCATGAATGCTCATTAGCAATGCACTGATAATGTTACCTAGTCTGCCAAGAAAACAGCCAACCTCAGAGAGCACCAAGGATCTCTCAGGGACTGATACATAAATAGGATGGAGATGGGCATTTATCTAAAGTAAACTCATTTAAGTTGGACCATACGAAAGGCTGAGCGCCAAAGAATTGAGGCCTTTGAACTCTGGTGTTGGAGAAGACTCCTGCGAGTCCCTTGGACTGCAAGGCGATCCACCGGTCAGTCCTAGAGGAGATCAATCTTGACTGCTCTTTAGAAGGCCAGATCCTGAAGATGAAACTCAAATACTTTGGCCACCTAATGAGAAGGAAGGACTTGCTGGAGAAGAGCCTAATGCTGGGAACAATTGAGGGCAAAAGAAGAAGCGGATGACAGAGAACGAGGTGGCTGGATGGAGTCACTGAAGCAATAGGCTTGAGCTTAAATGGACTCCAGAGGATGGTAGAAGACAGGAAGGCCTGGAGGAACGTTGTCCATGGGGTCACGATGGGTCGGACACGACTTCGCAACTAACAACAACAAAACTCTTTCATTCTCATTCTCTCTCCCCCCCCCCCCCCCCCCCTCCCCCCCCCCCCCCCCATATGTCCTCTGGTTTCTCCTCTTCTATTTAACTTTACTTTGGAGAACAGTTAATGAATCTGCTTTCTTTGTTCAATCAGATTACGGCTATTCTCTAGAGGAGGCAGATGGGGAAGGAACCAGGGAGACTGTCTGGCCACTTCCTGGATTTAAAGTGGTGCTGAATTTAAACACCGGAAATGTACAGATAACCTAAAATGGAGAAAGCAAACAGCCCCAGCTTGCAACTAGAGCAGCTAGTGACTCAGCCAGTCCCTGTGGCAGTCCACGAAGATGCCTTCTCTTACAAGGTAATTTCTTTTATCCTCAAGTTTTTGTTTCTGAGATTCACCACAGGAGCCCGAGGTAGCACAAAAAGAGGCTTAATATTTTAATAATATATTTTTAAATATTTATTAAATGTAATTGGCTAGCCATCTTACCACGGGTAATTCTGGGCAACTTACAATATGTATATAAAAAAATAATAATACTATAGGAATAAAGTGCTCCAAAAATATAAAGACACAAAGGGTGTAGCTCAGAAACGTGGACCTCGGGATCAGTGGCTGGAGAAAGAGACATGAAATGGGTGACGGTATAGATACATAAAGACAGTCATGCCTGTCTCACTTAACAACCGCAGTGATTTTTTTTAAACAACCATGGCAAAAGAGGCTGTAAATTTGAGTACACAACTATTTGTATTCAAAAGTGACTCAAGCAGTCACTCTCCTATTTATTGGAGTTATAAGGAGGGAAGGTACAGTTCAAGCAGATTCGGTTATTATAGCCAACCTCAATAAAATATACCGTATTTTTCAGACGCACTTTTTCCCCCCGTAAAAGAGGCTGAAAATTTGGGTGCATCTTATACTCCGAATGTAGCTTTTTTGAAGCTTTTTTTCAGCCCTAATGAGGCACTAGCGAGTGAAGCTGATCTTCTGTGCTTTTCCTGTTCCCTCCGACTCTCAGCTGTGCTTTAGAAGCTTTTTTTCAGCCCTAACGAGGCGCCAGCGAGTGAAGCTGATCTTGCGAGCTTCGCCTGCTTTTCTCATTGCTTCTCTCTCCAAAGATCAGCTGTGTTTTAGAAGCTATTTTTTATCCCCAAGCAGGGATAAAAAGCACACACTCAAAACCAACGAACTAATGTGCTGAAGCTGACCAGACTAAGGATGCTAGCCAGATGAATACCTGGTAGGCAGATTTTTTCCCCCCCTATTTTCCTCCCCAAAAACTAAGATGTGTCTTATACTTCGGTGCGTCTTATACTCCGAAAAATACGGTAATTCGGATCTTCCTGTGGAATTGATTTTCTGGTCTGGTCCACCTAATGGGGATGAGCTGCCCTTCTGATAATGTTATAATATTGCCAAATAATATCCCGTAATTTTTTGGAAAGTCAGAAAGCAAGTGAGACGACCCGATTTTATGACCTTAAAAGAATCACTATGGTTGTTAAGTGAGTCACACGGTCATTAAGCAAATCCAGCTTCTCCCTTTGATTTTGCTTGTTGGAAGACAGCTGGGAAGGTTGCAAATGGTGATCACAGAATCCTGAGAATGCTGTGACTGTCAGAAATACATCCTGGGTGTCAAGCATTCCAAATTTTGATTATGTGACTGTGAGGGTATTGCAATAGTCATAAGTGTGAAGACCGGTCATAAATCATTTCTGAATGGTTGTAAGTCGAGGATTACCTGTCCAGAGGTGCTTTTGGCCTTAGAATTCTTGCATGAATGAGTTTGGAAATGCAACGGACCAGATTCCTCTTAATACAGTGACCTACGTAGTGTTGAACTTGGGGATGAGTTCGGTTCAGGCCCATTCAATGTATCTTTTGAGAGCATCGGTTTGGAGAAAGCTGACATGGATTTTATGTTTGCCTGGACATAAGTCCTCCTTGCATGACTTTTACTTGAATATTGTAAGTCTGAGGACTGGTGATAAAGACACTTCTTTCAATGCTATTATAATGTTCGATCCATTGCTAAATGAAAGGTTGTAAATCAGTGGTGAAATGCTACCGGTTCGCACCGGTTCGGGCAAACCGGTAGTGATAAAAAGTTTTTTAAAAAGCTACTGGTTCCTCCCAACCGTTTTTCCGACGACCAGCTGTGCCACATGATTTAAAATCTCTAAAAACCTGCTTTCTAGTGAATCTAAATCGCGTGGCACAGCTAATCCCCCCTCCCTCGCTGTTCTACTTACCTTCCCAAGCCTCCTTTTGGTGTGTAATGTGCATGCATGCATTTGGCGCGCACTGCGCATGCACAGCCAGCGAACCGGTGGCAAACTGGTTCATATTTCACCATTGTTGTAAGTCGAGGACTACCTGTAGGTCCATCTTGCATTGACAGAAGCTGCGAAGTTTAATCCCTGTGCTTTTTTCCTTTCATTGCAGGAAAATCTGATTGGTGCCTTGCTGGCCATTTTTGGGCATCTGACGATCAGCATTGCTCTCAACCTCCAGGTGAGTTGAGAGAAGGAGCAAAAGGATTCCAGAGCCATAGAAACCACAATGCACTTTCTCATCCTCCTTTCTCTTCCTCTAGAAATACAGTCATATCCGGTTGGTGAGTTGCAAAGAGACAAAGGCTTATTTTAGGACCAAGACATGGTGGTGTGGTTTGTTCCTTCTCTGTCTGGGAGAATTGGGGGTCTTCTCCGCCTACGCTTTTGCTCCCCTGTCCCTGATAGTGCCTCTGGGAGCTGTCTCTGTCATAGGTAAGTCCCTCAATACATGTCAGAGCTTCTCTTCGTGGTAGAGCAGGCTAAGAAACCAAGCCCATGAATGCTGATAGGACTGCGTCAGAATATTCATGACTGGGAAGGCATGGGAACAAGGTCAGCCAATGAATAGGCATAGCAACTAAGTCAGCCAATTGGGTGCTGCTGAGGCATACTGGAGCCCAGGGAGTGTCTTAGTCTGCAGCTTCTGATTCTGTGCAGAGAAACAAAACTGAAACCAGTGTATGTTAAGCTCTGAGCTGTGAAGCTGTGCGTCTGAACTTGTCTGCTCTTCTGAGCTGAAATGAAACTGTGAATCTGCTGTTGGTATTGTAAACTTACTTCATGTATAATTGTGAACATAAAGAAGTTAGTGGATCCTGCTGCATCAGTTTATCTGCGTGTGCTTCTGGATTTGATTTTTGCAACAAACTCGGACAGACTGTTATTAAGTGGATTTGTTTATTCGTTCATTCAATTTATGTAGCCACCCATCTAGCATTTGTGACTCTTTAAGTGGCTCGCAAGTAAAACACAGGTAGTCCTCCACTTACGATCACAACTGAGCACAAAATTTTTGTTTCTAAGTGAAACACTTGTTAAGTGAATTTTGCCCCATTTTACGACCTTCTTTGCCACAGCTGTTAAGTGAATCACTGCAGCTGTTAAATTCATACACGGTTGTTCAGTGAATCTGTCTTCTCCGTGCACTTTGCTTGTCAAACGGTCGTAAAAGGGGATCACGTGACCCTCACGATACTGTAACCGTCATAAAATACGAGTCAGTTACCAAGCACCCGAATTTTGATCCCATGACTATCAGGGTGTTGCAACAGTCAAGTGTGAAAAAGGGTCAGTTTTTTTAGTGCCATTGTAACTTTGAATGGTCACTAAATGAACCGTTGTAAGAGGAGGACTACCTGTAATTACAAATGAGCAACTAAAATTAAAACAATTGAAAAAAAAAACCAATTGAAAAAGTTAAAACTTAATTTGAGGGAAGAGCACAAGCAAGGCATACGATAACGAACAGTGCAGCCAACTTTAATTACAAAGTTAGAAGTCACGAAAGTCTTGGAAGTTTGTGCCTTTCCCTTCCTTTCCTTTACCTTAAGGAGAACCAGGGAGGGTTTGTCTGAGATGTTTACCTCAGGTAACAATTCTGGCTGGGACATAGGTTTCTTTTATCTGACCATTGTATATTCGTTGGCCCTCTTCCTCCGGTTTCTCAAGGTTATTCCTTCTGCCATGCAGATAAGTCTTGCGCCTGCAGACGTCTCCCACAATGCTGTACGATTTAGGCCCGATGATATTTCTAGCAAAAGGGTCCTTGGTGCTCTCTGAGCTTGCTTGTTTTCATGCAGACAAGTTTCGTTACTCTAACTAAGTAACATCATCAGTGCTAGTAAGGAGTGCTGTTTGCTGTCAGTTTATATTCTGTTGTCTTGCCTGTTTGTGTTGGGGAGGTAGGAACAGTCTTAGTGTTGTAGGAAATAAAACGGAACCAAGCCACGCTCTTTGATGCAGGAAAAAGGTTTATTGTGCACGGTTCAAACAGTCCAAAAACGGGCAAAGAGTCTGAACAATGATGGCTGCTTTTGGCCAGATATTTATACAGTTTAAAGGCAAAGTTATTACGAAGAGTGAAACATTTCACATGTAGAAGTTACCCTTTAATCTATCTCTAGGAAAGGAATAACAATCCTGTTCCCACAGGCTTAGGTTCTCAGCTCCGGAGCTCAAGACATAATAAAAGAGGAGATAAGGGGCTCAGAGACGCCTCAAGGGCAGTAAAGGGGGCAGTAAGGGAAGCAGTATTTCTCCTCTAGGATATACATGACATTTGGGATGTAATAAACATTAAACAACAGGATGTATCTGTTTAGGGTCAGTTTGCCATTTTACAATTCTGTGCCTACGTCAAATACCTTTTGCCATTTTAGCACCTTGGCACGGAAGAGGCACTTCTGTCTTGACCAAAGATTTAGAATTATAATATTTGAATTTTGTCCCAATATTGGATCTTAGCCTGGCTCATTAGAGATTCTTTGCTTGGGCTGTTTACTGATGGCTCTTTGGCAGTTTCTTGATTGAGGGTATTGCTTACTTGATTGTTGGTCTGAAGTTGACCTTGGCGTTAATCTATGCTGATCTGGGTGCTGATTCCTGGTGGAGAGATGCTGGAGTCTTTTTTTGTTCTCTTTTGGGCTAGTTGATTGTCTCTTTTGCATAGTGTATTCTTCTTCTTCTTGTGCCATATCCATCATTGGACGTTGGCGATCATGTTGGCGATCCTATTTTTGTCAACAGCTGCATGAAAAAGTGCTGCTGAGTTTTGTCCAAACCAGTCCCTTAGATTTGGAAGCTATGATTTTCTTCTTCTGCCTGGACCTCGTTTGCCTTCAGTCTTTCCCTGGAGGATTAAGTGAAGGATGCCGTATTTTTCTGGGTGTCTCATCACATGTCCAAAATATTCTAACTTTCGCTTTTTTATGGTTTTGATGATTTCCCATGGCATTCCCAGGCGACTTATCACCATCTCATTTGTGATTTTGTTAACCCATTTTATACGTAACAGCCGTCTGTAAATCCACATTTCAAATGCTCCTAGTCTCTTCAAGTGGTTTTCTGTCACGGACCAACTCTCTACTCCGTAGAGCAGGATAGAAAAGATGTAACATCTGACAAGCCTGATTTTCAGTCTTAGGCTTATGTCGTGACTGCAGAAGACCTTTTTCATTTTGAAGAATGCTGTTCAAGCTTTCTCTATCCTTGTCTTTACTTCACTGATCATGTCCCAGCTTTCGTGTCAATTAAAACCGAGGTACGTGATCCTTTCAACTTTTTCTAATGGTATTCCTTCCGAATTTATCAGTGGTAATTAATGGGTTGTTTGCTGACGACCATGTTCTTGGTTTTTGAGGTGTAAAGCTTCAAGCCATATTTTTCAGATATTTCTGAGATTCTGTTGTTGAGGAGCTGAAGGGTCTTCATGCTTACTGGCAAACAAAACTGTATCATCAGCATATCTTAAATTGTTGGTCGGAACACTTTGAGGCCAGCATCAATCTTCTCCAGTGCTTCGTTGAAAATTGACTCAGAGTAGATATTAAATAATAAAGTGTATAGTGTATAGATGTTGTTAATGTCTATGTGTCTATTGATGGCTGATTTGTCAGAGTGCCAAGCTTCTAGACATTCCCTGGCATTTTTGGATTTGGCCCGGTCTAGGATTGTCACATTTTCCCAATTGAAACTATGATTAAATCTATCTATATGTTGTGAAATTAAAAAATAAACTGATACGGTAGCAAACAGCAATCCTTACTAGCACTGATGCTGTTACCTAGTTAGGGTAATAAAACGCCTGCAAGAAAACAAGCTCAGAGAGCACCAAGGACCCCTCATGTCAACCCTGAGCTACAAATATTCTCCTTTATTGATATTTCTAGTATCAGATGTATCTCGAAAACTGAAATAGTTGACAATCCATATAAAATTGCTTCCTATGTAAAGAAGGTCAGACGGCGGTGCAGGTAGCAAATCTTCAAGATGCTGGCAAGATCCATAGTCTTACATCCTCCCAGATCCAGGAAGCTTTGATATGTAGGCCAGATGTTCTCCAGTTATGCTGATTTACTCAAAAATAAAAGAGGGAGGAGGGAAACACTAATATTCAATCAAACATTTCCACAAGTGAAAATACATGCATACCAGAGGTGGGTTTCAGCAGGTTCTGACCAGTTCTGGAGAACCGGTAGCGGAAATTTTGAGTAGTTCAGAGAACCGGTAGTAAAAATTCTGACTGGTCCCACCCCCATCTATTCTCTGCCTCCCAAGTCCCAGCTGATCGAGAGGAAATGAGGATTTTGCAGTAACCTTCCCCTGGAGTGGGGTGGGAATGGAGATTTTACAGTATCCTTCCCCTACCATGCCCACCAAGCCACGCCCACCAAGCCATGTCACGCCCACCAAGCCACACCCACAGAACCGGTAGTAAAAAATTTTGAAACCCACCACTGACGCATACCCCAGCTTGAACTAATCAGACCAGCTGTCTCTAGCATCAGCAAAACTCATTGCTTGCTATTTTCTCATGCAGCAAGTGCAATCATCGGTGTCATATTCATCAGGGAAAAATGGAAACCTAAAGACTTCTTGAGTAAGTGGCTGGATGCATTTTTTCAGAACTGCCCGTCTTCAGCACGTTTCTTTTTACCTTTGCTTCCCTTGCTTGACTCTTGCATGGATTGTACAAATCAACAAGAATTGATTTCTGGCACTCTCTCCTCTCTCCCTTAAAATTGCAATTATTATTTTAGCTTTTTTCGTACCTGCTAATTTGTTAGGACCGGCTTGGAGGTAGCTGGCTACTTTTTCATTATTTCAGAAGGATGGGTTGGAGGGTTATGTTGGTTTCTCATCTTGGATAGCCAGAAGAAAAGGGGGCAGCGCTGTCCTTGTTAATTTACATCCGGATCCCTGGGATGCATTCCTTCTTCCGTTTTCCTTCTTCCATTTTCCTTTTTTTTTTTTTTTGCTAATTGTTTTAATTATAACACACAGGTAGCCCTCAAGTTACAGCCATTTATTTAGTGCAGGGGTCCCCAGATGCATCAGGGGTGAAATCCAGCAGGTTCTGACAGGTTCTGCAGAACTGGTAGCGGAAATTTTGAGCAGTTCAGAGAACCGGCAAATGCCACCTCTGGCTGGCCCCAGAGTGGGGTGGGAATGGAGATTTTGCAGTATCCTTCCCTCAGGAGTGGGGAGGGAATGGGGATTTTGCAGTATCCTTCCCCCAGGAGTGGGGAGGGAATGGAGATTTTGCAGTATCCTTCCCCCAGGAGTGGGGAGGGAATGGAGATTTTGCAGTATCCTTCCCTTGCCACGCCCATCAAGCCACGCCCACCAAGCCACGCCCACAGAACCGGTAGTAAAAAAAATTGTATTTCGCCACTGCTATGCATGTGTATAACTCAGAGCGGTTGTAGGTCTCCGAATTAATGCACTAACACAGCTTTTCCTGTCTTCATCCTGCCAAAGGGCGTTATGTTTTGTCCTTCATAGGCTGTGCCTTAGCCATTGTTGGGACGTATCTGCTGATCACCTTTGGACCAAACAACCATGAAGTCATGACAGGAGAGAACATCAGAAAGCACTTGGTCAGCTGGCCATTCCTTCTGTATATGGTAAAGTGACCCATTTAATCGAGTCTAATCTGTGCTCTTCCTCCTCAGCTTCGTTTCATTTAGAGGCCTAAGCCAGGGGTGAAATCCAGCAGGTTCTGACAGGTTCTGGAGAACCGGTAGCGGAAATTTTAAGTAATTCAGAGAACCGGCAAATGCCACCTCTGGCTGGCCCCGGAGTGGGGAGGGAATGGGGATTTTGCACTATCCTTCTCCCAGGAGTGGGGTGGGAATGGAGATTTTGCAATATCTTTCCCCTGGAGTGGGAAGGAAATGGGAATTTTGCAGTATCCTTTGCCTGCCACGCCCACCAAGCCACGCTCAGAGAACCAGTAGTAAAAAAAATTGGATTTCACCACTGGCCTAAGGCCAATAAGTGATGTTTTGTGCTTGCTCTGTGGTTCCTTGATCTAGATGAGGGTTTCTCAAATCTTGGCAACTTGAAGCGGCGTGGGCTTTTGATTCTCAGAATTGCCGGCTGCCTGGGGAATTTGGGGAGCAGGCTTCCCCACATCTTAAAGTTGCCAAGTTTGAAAAATGCTGATCTAGAGCTTTAGCTTTAATTGGTTTGTAGGGTGGGTGGGTCAGAAGAGCCGAGTTCATATATCAAATTGAACCATAAAGCAAAGATGGGCAGCCTCAGAGCTGTATGCAATCTGGTGCTGGCAAAAAAAACAGACAGGTTTCTTATCCTCAGAAAGATAAATTCTGAAACGGGATGACTGTCGTTTAAAATAATCAAGAATCCAATGCTTTTAGGAAACAAAACAACCCTCCCCACAATACTGTCATTGTCAGCTCCAATTTTGTTAAGAGTGTTTCTCAGGCATCAAAAAGTTGACTGTCCCCTTGCCATAAACTATGATTTGCAAATCGCAATGATATATGAATAGATTGTATTACCCTATTTTTCAGAGTATAAGACGCACCTTAAGTTTTTGGGGAGGAAAATAGGGGGGAAAAAATTCTGCCTACCAGGTATTCATCTGACTAGTCCTTAGCCTGGTCAGTTTCAGCACATTAGTTCACTCACCGGTTTTGAGGTTGGGGCTAAAAAAACAGCTTCTAAAGCACAGCTGATCATCGGAGGGAGCCACAATTAGAAAAGCAGGCAAAGCACGGAAGATCGCTTCGCTCGCGTTGGGGCTGAAAAACAGCTTCAAAAGCACAGCTGATCCTCGGAGGGAGCAGCAAATTAGAAAAGCAGGCAAAGCATGGAAGATCGCTTCGCTTGCGTTGGGGCTGAAAAACAGCTTGAAAAGCACAGCTGATCCTTGGAGGGAGCTCCAGTGACTAAAGCAGGCAAAGCACGGAAGGGGTAAGAGAAGGCAGCAGCTGTTCAGGGTAGCCATTTTGGACACCACGTGGGGTTACATTTGGAGTATAAGATGCACCCAAATTTTCAGCCTCTTTTAGGAGGGAAAAAAGTGTATCTTATACTCTGAAAAATACGGTAAGTCAAACCAATTAGGTAACATTATGATTTAATATGATGTGATCCCAAATTGAGTTTTAGACCTGCAGTTACAATGGATCCCTAGATATCTCTAGATATCCTGAGTGGCTCAAGGTTGACTCAGCCTTCCATCCTTTCAAGATTGGTAAAATGAGGACCCAGATTGCTGGGGGCAATAGGCTGATTGCCTACGCTTAGAGAGCAGTATATAAGTCTAAGTGCTATATAAATCTAAGCGGTATATAGGTCTTAAGTCTATTGGTATTGTCCTTCCTTCCTTCCTTCCTTCCTTCCTTCTTTCCTTCCTTCCTTCCTTCCTTCCTTCCTTCCTTCCTTCCTTCCTTCCCTCTGCCCACTGCCAGCAGTTCGATCCTGACAAGCTCAAGGTTGACTCAGCCTTCCATCCTTTCGAGATTGGTAAAATGAGGACCCAGATTGCTGGGGCAGTATGCTGACTCTGTAAACCACTTAGACAGGGCTGTAAAGCACTGTGAAGTGGTATATAAGTCTACGTTCTATGGCTATTGCTATCCTTACCCAATATCCAGCCTAGATAGTTGTGTTTAAACACAAGCTCTTGGACTGGTAGCTCTAGTGCAGGGGTGTCAAACTCACATTGTCACGGTGGTATCACGTGACGCATCGGAACTTTTCCCCCCTTCACTAAACCGAGCATGGCCAGCACAGGATGCATCTGGCCCATGGGCCGGAAGTTTGACAGCCCTGCTCTAGTATGTTAAACAAGCCAAGTTGGCCAACTCATTGTAATAATGTAGAGCAGGGGTCAGCAACTTGCAGCTCTGGAGCCGCATGTGTCTCTTTCACCTTTCACCTCTGCTGCGGCTCCTTGTCACTCAAAATATGTGTCATGACCGCCAATGTGCGACACCCGCCAGCACACGATTTATTGAGCTTTTCAACCTCGGGTAGGCCAACCATGGATAAATCCAAGAAAAGTAAAGTTTCAGAAGAAAACAGAACGTTTAATTCGACTACGTATGCTAGTTTTGTGGCCGCTCCAGAAATTGTCAGGCACGGGAAGGGTTTTGTGGCTCTGGTGTTTTCTTTTCTGTGGGAAACGGGTCCAAATGGCTCTTTGAGTGTTCAAGGTTGCAGACCCCTGTTCTAGGGTTTACAAACTACAGAGGATCAGTTTTTGTGTTATTGAGAGAAGCTGGTTTTCACTTTTCTGAGCAAAACAGCCAAAAATGAGGAATCTGCCAGCAGAAAGAAGCAGTTCAGCAAATAGGTGTGGCCCCAGAAGATTTTACTGATTTTTTTTAAAAAATGTGTATGCTCATCCATTTTGAATAAACAGTTTTAATCAAACCTCAATGTAATAAAACCTCCATAAACAAAGTATATAATTAAAATAACAATTACACAAGATAATATAATTAAAATAATAATTACACACAATTATAAGAATATAATTAAAACAATAATTGCTCAGGAACTGAGGCACTGCCTAATACCTCATAGAGTTACGTTTACAGTTTCATGAACAAGATGGCAGACACAGCAATGCCAGCCCAAACATGCTCCCCACTTCCTCTGTTTCAGGGTTTGAATAAGATGCCATGTGGACCGGCTGCAGCTTCGAACCCAGGTTCAAAGCAACTCTCGGCCATGAGAGCTCCCTGGGTGACTTTGAGCCAATCCTTTTCCCTAAGCCCAGTCTATTTAGCTGTGCTGTCGTGGTGGGTGAAGCTTAGCTCAGGGAGTGTTGAATGCGTGGCCCTGAGTTCCTGCAGAAAAGGCAGGATCGGCTTTTAACAAATAGATAAAATAAACTGCACTTCACCTAAGCCAGGGGTGTCCAATCTTGAGACTTGTGGACTTCAACTCCCAGAATTCCCCAGCCAGCCATTTTTATGACCCACGCCCAAGTAAGTAGTATTCGAGGCAAACAATTCCAAACAAACAGACTTTATTAGAACAGCTGAGAATTAACTCATTCTCAGCGTAGTCCAAACTAAATCAAAACAAAGTCTTCATAGCACAAATTCTTCAATCTAATCACCAACCTTGGTATAATTAGGCAAACTGCCAAAGGCTTCTCTTGGCAAAAGTTCAGAAGCAGAAGATGCCGACAAGAGATAAGTGCAGCAAGACAAGAACAAGCCTATCAACGTTGTTTTCCGACAAAGAGCCCAAGAGCCGATGCTGGTCTTTTAAGCCTTATGGGAGGGGCCAATCATCTCTTGGCCCTATTCCTGAATCGTCCTCTTTGCTTTAACTGCTTTTGCCTTCTGGCAGTTCTCCTTATATGTGCACTAGGAACAGGCTCCTCCTGTTCCTCTGCCTCTCTACCGTCAGCCTCTGGAGGCTCCGGAGTCCGCAAATCACTCCCCGATGGTCCTGGCCCCATCTCTGCCTCCAACGCAGAGCCCTCATCCGGGCCGTCCCCAGCCTCCAGGACTGGCTCCTGTTCTTCCTCAGCCTCATCGCTGTCCGACTCTGCTGCCAGCTCCGAAGGCTGCTGGCGGACCACAACAGCCATGTTTAGTGCAATGTGTGAAACCTAATCTATAATTCAGGCCTCCTAAACTGATAACAGTAGTGACTGTTCAAAGATATGACCTACCTGAAAAAGGGAACTTATGACCCAGATCTGAAGTCCTAATGGTCATTGGGGGGAATTCCCCTTCTTAGAGCTGGATCGTAATAGCAATAGCACTTAGACTTATATACCGCTTCATGGTGCCTTACAGCCTTCTCTAAGCGGTTTATAGAGTCATCCTATTGCCCCCAACAATCTGGGTCCTCATTTTACCGACCTTGGAAGGATGAAAGGCTGAATCAATCTTGAGCCTGGTGAGACTCGAACCGCCAAAGTGCTGGCAGCCGGCAGTCAGCAGAAGTAGCCTGCAGTACTGCACTCTAACCATTGCGCCACCACAGCTCATAAGTCCTCTTTTTCAGGTAGGTCGTAACTTTGAACAATCCCTACAGTCACGTGACTCTATTTGGGGCACTAGGCAATGCATACAGGTAGTGCTCGACTTACAACAGTTCATTTAGTGACCGAAGTTACGTCACTGAAAAAGGTGACTTATGACCATTTTTTTTGCACTTACGACTATTGTAGCATCCCCATGGCCACATGATCAAAATTCAGATACTTGGCAACTGACTCATATTATGACGGTTGCATTGTCTTGGGGGCTATATCAACACCTTTTGCGACCTTTTGAGAAGCAAAGTCAATGGGGAAGCCCGATTCATTTAACAACCGTGTTACTAACTTAACAACTGTGGCAAGAAAGGTTGTAGAATGGAGCAAAATTCACTTAACAACTGTCTCCCCTAGCCACAGAAATTTGGAGCTCAATTGCAGTCGTAAGTGGAGGACTACCTGTATTTACGGCCATCTGCAGTGTCCTGTAGTCACGTGACTGCATTTTGTGGCGGTTTTGCTAAAAACGGGCACTTCCGGCCCATGGCGAACAATGGCTTACACTTATGACCACCGTGTTCACTTAATGACCGTCACAAAAAAGTAAAATCCTTTTACCACCATTACAACTTGTGACCCTAATAGGCATTTTCCAATATGGTTGTAATTCGAGGACTATATGTCCTTGGAATGCAAACTCCAGCTCCCAGATTTCTGGGGAACTAAGGCAGGAGAGACCCCCTTTTTCATTTCATTTCTAAAGGGGGGGGTGTCTGTCCCTTCAGCCTGCAAAGGCAAGAATGGGTGGGGGCGAAACCTTGGAAACCCAGCCGTATTTCAAACCCAGTGTCATTTCTCTGTTCTCGTTCTTTAGCTGGTGGAGATCATTCTGTTCTGCCTGCTTTTATATTTCTACAAGGAGAAGAAAGCAAACTATATTGTGGTGATTCTGCTTCTGGTAGCCCTCCTTGGTAAGTTTCTTCTCCTCTTCCTCTTTACGTAAGGTCAGTTTCACAAACTGGATTGTTAAACCTCGGCCTCTGATTAGCAAAGAAGCAAGTTCATGCATGCGGGATGGGTGTGAGGTTTAATCTCCATTCAGCTTTCCCAAAGATAGTTCCTTTTGTGGTCTGCATTTTCCAGAAATCCTGATCCAAGACCCCCGGAGGAGTCAAATTTTATGTATTTACCTTATTTTTCAGACTATAAGATGCTTTCCGGACTATAAGACGCACCTAGCTTTTGGGGAGGAAAACAAGGGGAAAAAAATCTGCCTCTGCCTCCCAGCAATTCGCCTCCTTGCAACAAACAGCCTCGTCAGCTTCAGCACAGCCTGATTTAGCACAAGCAGCTGATTGGTGGTTGGCTCTGCCTCCCAGAATACTGCCTATCAGCTGTTCCAGGCTGTGAGGATCACCACCACTTATTGCCGCCTCCGCGCGCCCCATGTTTGGCCTCTGCACTTCCCATTTTCGGCCTGAGCATGCGCCCATTTTCGGCCTGAGCATGTCCCATTTTCAGCCCGGTCCAGGCGGTGGGATCAGTGGCAGTGGCGGCGATTGCTGCCGCCTGGAACAGGCTGAAAAGGGGGTGCGTAGAAGCCGAAAATGGGACGCGCAGAGGCAGCGATAGGCGGCAGTGGTGATGGGTGCCGACAGTGGTGATGGGCGGTGGAAATCCCCGCAGCCTGGAACAGCTGATAGGTGGTATTCCGGGAGGCATATCCAACCGCCAGTCAGCTGCTTGTGCTAAATTAGGCTGTGCTGAAGCTGACCAGGCTGTTTGCTGCAAGGAGGCAAATTGCTGGGAGCAGAGGCCGGTGGGTGGGGACTGGCAGGTGGGCAGGGCTTCGCCAACATTCATTGTATAAGACGCACAGACATTTCCACCCATTTTTGGGGGGGGTGGGGGGAAGTGTGTCTTATACACTGAAAAATAAGATATTTATTTATTGGGTTTCAAGGCTGGCTCCAAAAAGACTCTGAGCCACCCGGAAGATGTCTGCCTTAGACAAAGCCCCATGAAGAATATCCAGATAAAAATAAATTCATCAAGGTTTGAGTTGTTGGAGAGAGCTGAGTAAGTTAAGTTCTTGTTCCTGTTGATGGGGTCTCGGCAATTCCCATTACAGGTAGTCATCGACTTACGACCACAATTGAGCCCAAAATTTCTGTTGCTAAGTGAAACATTTGTTAAGTGAATTTCAGCCTGTTGTGTGACTTTTCTTTTCACTGTTGTTAAGTGAAGCACTGCAGTTGTTAAGTTAGTAACACAATTGTTAAGTGAATCCGGCTTCCCCATTGACTTTGCTTCTCAAAAGGTTACAAAAGTGTGATTTTCATGACCCCGGGACACTGCAGCCGTCATTAATATGAGTCAGTTGCCAAGTGTCCAAATTCTGATCAGTGGGGATGCTGCAACGGTCGTAAGTGTGAAAAATGATCATAAGTCACTTTTTTTAAATGCTGTTGTAACTTCGAACCGTCACTAAATTAATTGTTGTAAGTTGAGGACCACCTGCACATAGGTTGCAGCATCCCCATGGTCACATGATCAAAATTCAGACTCTTGGCAACTGACTCATATTTATGACGGTTGCAGGGTCCCGAGGTCATGGGATCTCCTTTTGAGACTTTCTGAAAAACAAAGTTAACGGGGAAAATCAGATTCACTTAACAACCATGTGTTAGCTGTGGAAGCCATATTAGGCCGGAAGCTTCCATGCTGCCACCTTCTCCTGTGTGGGAAAGTAGGAGGGGGGGATTAAGGAGAAGGGTTGTCTGTAGACATAATAGCATTCTTCCTGTCGGTCAAGGTCAGGCCGATCCTGCATCTGGAGAAGGAGTGGTCAGAGTAACGTCTCGAGATGGGACGGCGATTGATTGGAGCATGTGATCGACTGAGGAGTGAGGGGATGGTTTTGGGGGTTTTGATTTACTGAGGGAAAACCCGGACCTCTCAGATTCGGGTTTTCCCAGATGTGCCAGTTTACCTATCCTAGTAAATAGAACTTTGAAAAATGCTTGCTTCAGAGTTTTTACTTGGAGTTGGGTTTTTTTCTGGAACGCTGACACCGTCTTACTAATAACTGCGGTGGTTCACTTAACAGCTATGGCAAGAAAAGTCGTAAGACGAGGCAAAACTCACGTTAACACGTCTCACTTAGTCACAGAAATTTTGGGCTCAATTGCGGCCGTAAGTCAAAGACCACCTGTGCTGTTTTTTGCTCGCCGTTGTTAGGTGTTGGTCTTGAGCAAAACGAGGGTTGTTACCGGGGGTGAAATGCTCCCGGTTCGGACCGGATCACCCGATCCAGTAGCGATGGAGGCAGGTGGTTCGGAGAACCGGTAGCAAAAATCCCTGCCCCCCCCCCATGCCCAGCTGAGCCACACAATCATCAGAGGCTTTTTTTTTTACTTTTAAAAGCATTTTTTCTACAATCTCTTCGGCCTAAAAAACGCTTTTAAAAGTAAAAAAAAAAAGCCTCTGATGATCGTGCGGCTCAGCTGGGATTGTCAAAGGCTTTTAAAAGAAAAAAAACCCTTTTTTTCTTTTAAATGCCTCTGACGATCCAAGCTGAGTTGCCTGATCGTCAGAGGCATTTAAAAGGAAAAAAAATCCTCTGCCGATCAGGCAACTCAGCTGGGATCGTCAAAGCCTTTTGAAAGCATTTTTTATAACCTCTTCGCCGAATGGTTAAATGGTTTTAAAAGTTAAAAAAAAAATGGTCACGCCCACCCAATCACATTAACGCCCCCCAAGCCACGCCCACAGAACCGGTAGTAACAAATTTTAGATTTCACCACTGGTTGTTACCTTGCCGGTTTTCCAGGTTCCATGACTGTCATTACCGTCAAAGCCGTTGTGGGCATGGTCGCGGTTTCCATCCGGGGGAATATGCAGCTGGGCTACCCCATCTTCTACATCATGGCGGTGTGCATGGTGGCGACAACAGCCTTTCAGGCAGAGTAAGTGCAGCCGCGCTTCCTCTCTTCCTTTCTCCCCAAATGTGTATTTTCTTCCTGCAGCTCGCCGCCAAATGTCAAGGTAATTCAAATTTAATTAAAATGAATTATAGATCAAAAATAGAGCCTGTGTGGCAGGTAGCACTGGGAAACGAGGTAATTGGATTCTTCTTGCTGTTTCTGACCGGAGATAAGGCCTTTTAGTAACCATTTGAATAATTTCCTATTCTAAAAGAGGCTTTGGGGGAGGGTGAGGGGGGGGGTCATTTGGGAACAACACAGCTAAAGGCCAGCTTCCCACACTCGTTGCATCTTGCGTGGATTGCTGGGAGTGTGCTCAGAGGGATGGAGAGCAGCCTTCCTTTTACATATAAGAAGAGATTTATTTTTTTTTGCTGGGTCTTAAGGTTCCATTTGGAAACATCATCGTTGGTAGCCAAAGCTATACTTCGGTACACAACCAAAAACAAAAAAAGAAAACAATTGCAACCCACCTGCCTTTCATAGAAGACCTGTGTGTTGCATGGGTCAGAAGGAGGGCTGAGAAAATATTTGCAGATCCCTCACATCCTGGACACAACCTGTTTCAACTTCTCCCCTCAGGACATTGCTATGGGGCATTGCATGCCAAAACAACTAGACACAGAGACAGATTTTTTCCTCTTGCCATCATTCTGCTGAACACTTAACTCCCATAGCTCTGCTCTGCTCTGCTCCTATTCTATTCTATTCTATTCTATTCTATTCTATTCTATTCTATTCTATTCCTATTCCTATTCCTATTCCTATTCCATTCCATTCCTATTCCTATTCCATTCCATTCCATTCCATTCCATTCCATTCCATTCCATTCCATTCCATTCTATTCTATTCTATTCTATTCTATTCTATTCTATTCTATTCTATTCTTCTATTTTCTCCTATATTCTCTTCTCTTCCTTTCCCTTCCCTTCCCTTCCCTTCCATTCTACATTCTATTCTAATCTATTATTCTATTTTCTCCTATTTTCTTCTCTTCTCTTCTACATTCTCTTCTATTATTCTATTTTCTCCTATTCATCTCTTCTCTTCTATATTTTTTTTAAAAATCTGATTTATATGCCGCCCTTCTCTGGAGACTCAGGGCAGCTTACAATGCGTTAAGCAATAGCCTTCATACTTTCGTATATTTATACAAAGTCAGCTTATTGCCCCCATAAACTGGGTCCTCATTTTACCTACCTTAGAAAGGATGGAAGGCTGAGTCAACCTTGAGCCTGGGGAGATTCAAACTTACAGTCATTGCAGGCAGCTGGTGTTAATCACAATGCTTTTAGTCTGCTGAGCCACCAGGCCCTTCCTGGTGGCTCAAATAGAATTTTATTCTATTCATGAGTCAAAAAGTCAAAACAGTGACTTATGACCAGTGCTCACACTTACAACTATTGCAGCATCCCTACAAGTCATGGGAATCAAAATTTGACAAACGGCAGTGTGTTTACCATAGTTGCAGTCTATGGGTCATGGATCCTCATTTGCAATCTTCCCAACTGGGAAGCAAGCAAAGTCAGTGGGGGACGTCAGATTCAATTAACAACCACAAGATTCTCTTTAAATAGCTACAGTGATTTGCTTAACAACTGGGACAAAAAAGTCATAAAATCAAGTGCCCGTCACTTAATCACCTTGCTTACCAATGGAAATTCTGGTCTCATGGCTGGCTGGGGAATTCTGGGGGTTGAAGTCCACACATCTTAAACTTATGAAGATTGAAAAACATTTTTCCCATTTGCATGCTTTCTAGAGCATTTGACGTCCATGTGTACTACCAAAAAGGGGAGAATATTTGTAGCTCAGGATTGAAATTAAGAGTCCTTGGGGATTTCTGAGATGGGTTGTTTTCTTGCAGACATTTAATTAGAATAATTAATCAGTGGAACAACTTGCTTCCAGAAGTTGTGAATGCTCCAACATTGGAAGTTTTTAAGAAGAGATTGGACAACCATTTGTCTGAAATGGTATAGGGTTTCCTTCCTAAGCAGGGGGTTGGACTAGAAGACCTCCAAGGTCCCTTCCAACTCTATTATTCTATTTGTGATTTGTAATTACCCAAACTAGCAACGCCAGCAGCACTGATGTTATATAGTTTGGGTAATGAAACGCCTACAGAAAAGTCCACCAAGCTCAGAGAGCACCAAGGACCCCTCGTTGTAAAACATTACCTAGATATTTTGGAATGAGCTGAAATTTCACCAGGCAAATCAAGCATTGTTTTGCCACTGAGATCAGCAGCTGAATCTCTGACTGGTGATCCTGTTTTTGGTTCATGATTTGTAAGTTTCCCCTTTTTTTGTGCTGAAACATCTTTGGCTTTTCCTGAAATGTTTTGTTATTTATTTATGGGCAATGTTGTCTGATTATTTTTTTTCTTCCACTGTATTTATTTTTCTCCTAGGTTTTTAACCCAAGCTTCCCACTTGTATGATGTATCCCAGATTGCCAGTGTGGGTTATATCCTGTCTACTGTGATAGGAATTACAGCAGGTAGGCATATATCGGTGCATTAAAATCATGAAAGGAGCTGATCCGCAAATAACCTGAAATGGATTTTGCCTTCTTTCCCATCCCTGGGAGAGAATCCCTAACCTAATACTTACCTTGAAATATATATATTTTAATGCTTAAAATGAAATAGCCTGCATTGATAACAAGATTCTGTGCCTCCCTTTAGAAACTGTTTTTCTATTTGGAAGTGTAAATATAAGGATGGAACATTTTATCACATGTGGTGGCAATGCCCCAAAGCAAAGAAATATTGGGAACAAATAAGGAGATGGTTACAGGAGATAACAGGAGAACTTAACCTGAATTATTTTTATTAGGAATAATTAATCAAAAGATAAAGAAGCAATTCTAACATATCATTTTACATATAGTAACAGCAGCACAAATTGTTTATGCCCAAGGTTGGAAACTTGAAAATATACCAGCCAATGAGAGGATTATTCATAAGATATTAGAATGTGCTGAGATGTATAAGCTCAAATTAGAAATAAAAGGCAAGGAAAAAACAGAATTTTACGAGGTTTGGGATAAGTGATATAAGTGGTTAGAACAGAGAAACAAAAATGTATAGAAATAAATGTAGGTAACTAAGAGATATATGAGACAGTACTGTTAAAAAAATGCTTATTGTTATGTAAATTGGAAGAATGGAAAATAAAAAATTTAAAAAATAGAAACTTTTTTTCTATTTGAAAAGGCTTCTTTTCTCTTCAGGTGCAACTTTTTATTTGGACTTTATTGCAGAAGATGTTCTCCATATTTGTATGTTTTGTTTGGGGTAAGTTTACAATATTGATCTAACTCGTTGGCTTCTGGTAAACCTGTGTCTCTTGCATTTCCTTTTTCTCTGCTTGGCAAGTTGGTTCTTTTTAATGTATGATGGCTATTGGAAGGCTGCTTTGAGCATCTTCTATCTCAGAATGGTGGGAAACACTATCAATCGTTTTCAGCTTACTGAAAACAGAGTCTGAGGGCTGTTAGTTGCCCACTCTTTGCTAATAGTTTGGGAACATTTGAGGATGGATTCTTGGTTGCCTGAAAAGCATCTAATGAAACCATTTGATAGCTGATCTTATTCTCACTCACAACCCTGTCTGGAGTTTGCTGAACTGGGAAACGCTATCCCAATCCCTGCCCATATTGCAGTGCCTTATACAATCGTAAATACGTACAGGTAGTCTTCAGGTAATGGCCCTAATTGGGCTGGAAACTAAACAACACAGTTGTAAATTGAATAATCACATGAGCGTGCCAACTTACAATGGCAATTCTGGTTGCTGTTGCTATGCAACATCTGTGCGGGCATTAAACGCAACATCACATGATCACAACTTGCAGCTTCCTGCCAGCTTCCCTATTGACGTTGCTGGTTAGAATCTGCCAGTGAAGGTTGCAAGCGGTGATCCTGTGTGACCACTGCAACCATTATAATTGCGTGCCTGTTGCCAAGCTCTCAAATTGTGATTGTGTGACTGCAGGGAGGTTGTGACAGCTGCAAGTTTGAGGCATAAGTCTCCTTGTTCAGTGCCAGCATAACTTTGAATGTTCGCTGAATGAATGGTCGTTAAGCAAGGGCTAGCTGTATTTTCCCTTTCTTGGAAACCAAATCAATGTAGTATTTGTTGGTAATTAAAGCTTAATTTGTCCGTAGTCAAAGAATCTGAGGAGAATCTGAGGAGTTAATGCCATCTTTCTTTCTTTCTTTCTTTCTTTCTTTCTTTCTTTCTTTCTTTCTTTCTTTCTTTCTTTCTTTCTCTTTCTTTCTTTCCTTCCTTCCTTCCTTCCTTCCTTCCTTCTTTTTCTTTCTTTCCGTGTGTGTGTGTGTGTGTGTGTGTGTGTGTGTGTGTGTGTAAAGTGTTTTTCTGTCGAAGCACCTGGTCTACCCCAATATTGGAGGGAGCATCCTGCTTCCCTTTGGCTTTTCAGCTCCAATCCAGGAGCCCTCAAGCAGTCACATTCACAAGTTCGAATCCGAGTAAGGGTATGGCTAGCTGATGAGAGCTAAATAGCTTGAAATAGATCTATACTAGTCTCCCTTTATTTCTTTATCAGCAAAATATAAATTTGATAATATACTGTAAAATTTATATTGCTGCCTATTCACCCATGGCAACTCAAGGAGGTTTACAGAATATTAAATCACATTTAAAACAATAAAACTAATAAAAGGAATCAAATAAATCAATATAGAATAATATAATAAAATCACCCCCCCATCTCCCGCCCCAGCGATAGCAGATCACATGAGCCATTTAGTGGGCTCTATCCCGCTCTGGGTTCCCCAGACCCACTGGCAGAACCAGGTCTTCAGTGCCTTCCGGAAGAGTGTTAGAGTGGGGGCCATTCTAATTTCTGGGGGAATGATGTTCCAGAGAGAGGGAGCCACCACCGAGAAGGCCCTTCTTCTGGGTCCCATCAGGTGTATCTTCCTCGGGGATGGGACTCAGAAGAAGGGTCCCATCCTCTTGACCGAAAAGTTCAAGTCTTATATTTGCTAGGACAGTCCTGAGAACTTATGGGCAGCGGTGTCTGCAGAAGGGGGAAATTGTGAGGACAGACTGATAAAGGAAAGAGTGTCAGGACAGAAGTCTCATCCTTTTGGTGCATGCATTGTGCAATGCATGGGGCAGGACTTATGCTGTATTGCTGGACACCACTAGATATGGAAAAGGTTGTCAGTTCAGAATTGGGATGTCGAAGGGACTGCTTAGGGGGTGGAGATGCCTAGGAGCCCTTCTTCCTGGAGAGAATCCATGGGAGCAGCGGATGCTGTTCCTTTCAAGAAAATCAGAGTATCATCTCTTCACCCTTCTTTCCTCTCCTCGTATTCTGCCTGCATCAGTTTCCACTGCTCTTAAAAATAAGAAAGTGAAAATAGTACCGATGGTAAAAGGAGTCTTGGTGCAATCCAGGGGTGAATTCTACTTACCTTCCTTACCAGTTCGGAAGACCTTCTGTGCATGCCCAAATCTTCTGCACATGCGCAGAAGGTAAAAAACACATTACCTCCTGGTTACAACCAGAAAGTAATGACACCCAGCCGGGTGGGCAAAGCTATGCTCCGCCGTCGCTACCAGATCGCCGAACCACCGGCCAAGATCGCTACTGGATTGAGCGATCCGGTCCGATCCGAGAGCATTTCACCCCTGGTGCAATCCCAAAACAACCAGAACACCACTTGAATGCCATCGTCATTGACAAGTTCACCATCCGTCAATTGCAAAAGGCAGCTTTACTTGGAACAGCTGGCATCCTGGGATGATACTCTTAATACTATTAACAGCACTTAATACTATTAATCAGCTCCATAGAAAGGACTCAAGAGGCAGATAAAAATGCCAAATCTAGTCTAAGCATCTGGCTGACTGTGCAGTTAACCATAATAACAACAACGTCCTTATTCCTGCAAAGCCTCCTGACGCTGTTCTTTCCCTTAAGAATTTATGTTGAGGTAGAGAAGGCTCATGCACAACTATTTTAAGTCAGTAAACAAGGTCTGGGTAAATTTCTCAGACGGTTAGAAGGGCACTTCAGCTCTCCCTATGGCTTTGGAAAGAACTAAATTTAGTTAGAACTGTTTTTTGATGTTCCTGCTCGTCAGAGATGTTTCACTTCAAAAGTGTCTGGAAATGTTTACTTTGCCCCATGAACTGAAGCAGCATGGAGACCGATGACTCACTTTCTGTGAGGTCAAATGTGTCGCTAACACTTTTAGCTGTCAGCCACGTTTTTCTCTTACCTATGTTTCAAACTTCTTTACCTTGTCCTTTTAAAATCTCTTTCAGGTGCCTCATTGCCTTTTTAGGGGTCTTTCTGATCACTAGAAACAAGAGGAAATGCATCTTTTTTGAGCCGTACATCTCCATGGATGCCATGCCAAGTAATCTTAAAATCTAGTACCTTTTTGATAAGCTGGTAAAAACCGACAGGCTTTTGGAAAAGTTAGTCTACCCCCAAACCTCACCCCGCTTTATTATTTAGTTGTACCACTTGCTGCAGTCAGGTACAAAAACCGGGCATTTAACAGTGGCGGGATTCAAAAAAATTTACCACTGGTTCTGTGGGCATGGCTTGGTGGGTGTGGCATGATTTGGTGGGCGTGGCTTGGTGGGCATGGCAGGGGAAGAATACAGTAAAATCTCCATTCCCACCCCACTCCACAGGAAAGATACTGCAAAATCCCCATTCCCACCCCACTCCAGGGGAAGGATACTGTAAAATCCCCGTTTCCTCCTGATCAGCTGGGATTTGGGAGGCAGAGATTAGATGGGGGTGGGCCAGTCAGAGATGGTATTTACTGGTTCTCCGAACTACTCAACATTTCCGCTAGTGATTCTCCAGAACTGGTCAGAACCTACTGAATACCACCTCTGGCATTTAAGCAATGTGAAAGAACCCGTACCTTGACCGTGGTTATATTGAAAGTGTAATGTCATGAATGTTCTTGGCTTCTATTTATGTTATTTATAATGTTGGTCCCTGGTTTATTCTGCTTTTCTCCTATTTTAACAGCTGCCGAGAATCTCATATATTGAGATGGGCATCCTAGAAATGAGGGTATTAAATAAGTAATTTTTCAGAATCCACTTTCATCCATTTTAGATTTAATTTTGGAGTACTGAGGGAGAAATTTAAGGCAAAAATTTCCTTTAGGTCTTGTAGAGGATTAAAACATTAATTCACCCTTCAAGAACCTTGAAAAACCTCAAAGATTTGGACATTGTCCCCATTCAATGTGGAGATGACGATGACAATAATAATAATTTTATTGATTGATTGACTGATTATATTTGTTTGTCAGCAATCTCGCATACTATATCATCCAAATACCAGTTCAGTCATAGAATTGCAAATATGGCACTGAGGACCAAACGTAGCATTCTAACTTGAGAAGGGGATCCATATTTTGGATATTTCAGTAGCAGTGTTTCTCAACCTCACTCCCTTGAAGATATGCGGACTTCAACTCCCAGAATTCTGTGTCTTCAAATGTCCAAGGCTGAGAAACACCATCCTGAGGTAATCCAATCCTGCTGCCATCCAATGTGATGCAACTCTGGTTCCAGCCAAGTCTCAGAATGTAGGCTTTGAGATCAAAACTTTAGAACAGGGGTCAGCAACCTGTGGCTCTGGAGCCGCATGTGGCTCTTTCACCCCTCTGCTGCGGCTCCTTGTCACTCAAAATATGCATCACAATCGCCAATGTGCGACACCCGCCAGCACGCGATTTATTGAGCTTTTCAACCCTGGGTAGGCCAACCATGGATAAATCCAAGAAAAGAAAAGTTTCAGAAGAAAACATAAGGTTTAATTCAACTACATATGCTAGTTTTGTGGCCGCTCAAGAAATAGGCATGGGAAGGTTTTTGTGGCTCCCGGTGTTTTCTTTTCTGTGGGAAACAGGTCCAAATGGCTCTTTGAGTGTTTAAGGTTGCAGACCCCTGCTTTAGAACAATCTTGGTAGCTTTATGATGGATGGACTCCATCTCCCAGAATTCCCCAGGCAGCCCTCCTTTAGAAGATGAAATTAGAGTTTGGTTGGGTTAACGGAAGTGACAAGTTAAAAGAGAGCAATTGAATTTCTCTCTGTTTTCAAACCCCTACATTTCAAACCCCTCCACCTTTGTCCTTCAGGCATGCAGAATCTGCACGACAACGGAACTGCAGTTCAACCTGAACTGAAGTCTTCTTTTTCCTACGGCGCCCTGGAAAACAATGATAGCATCTCCGAAATTTATACTCCTGCTACCTTAACCGTTGTCCAGGAAGAACATGCTTCTTGTCGGATCATGTCACACAGCAAAAACGAGTGAATGCTCATTGAAGGAATACTGTAGGTGTGGTTGTCTTATTTATTACCCCTCCCTTTCTGTTATTTCACTCATTGAGCCCAGAAGGCAGATGAAGTAGGGATGAACTCATATAATAATTCTTAAAAAAAATAATAATTATTGATTAAGGATCAACGTACCTGCAGATACAAAAGTATTCCATGGTAAGATGAATTGCATTGGGATCCGAACAGCTCCAGCATTGCAAACGCAGAAGGCATTTGAGTAGCTAAACAGACTGTACCGATGCTCTGTTATAACAGAAGCAGTGATTTCCTTGGGATAACCAGGGATTGTGTGTCTTTTAAAAACTGGAAGAATGGCATTCTCCAAGAGATATGTATTAGGGATTCCCCACACTGAAAACTAATTATTTCCCCTTTTTCTGGTAGGCATGGCTAACCAGAGATATATTGATGCAGTTCACTAGTGTGTCCTCTGTTTTATTTAGTATATCTTGTTCTCCCAAACCTGGGAATAGGGAGGCAGGATACATTCTAGTATTCTGTTACCCTGGTCAAAGGGTTTAGTCAACAGTTCAACATTTTTTCCCATGAAAACTATGCAATTGAAGACATATCGCCGCTGAAAACTCATACCTTTCAGATCAACGCACCATGATTTAAGTTTAGTGTCCCGACGTTGGTCTGCAACCCCAGGTGTTGAGAATGTGATGACACATGTTTTGCTAATCGAAAGACCGCCATCTTGAAATCATAATGTTTGTGCTTTTAATAATTGTTCCGACAATGAAATTCTAGGTTGTAATGTCCTTTGCATTAGGCCTGGTTTTCATATTTAGCAGGTTTGGGTAATACAGGATGAATTGCATCATTTCATAATAATGTTTGGAGACTGCAATGGAATGTTTTTTTTGGGGGGGGGGGGATTAAAAATACTTCCCTGCAAATAGAAAGAAAGCCAGCTTTTGCAGATGTCACTGAGTTGTGACCAAAACCTCCTTCCTTCCTTCCTTTCCTGTGTGTGATATTTATGTTTAAATGTGCAGGAATTATTTAAACGGAGGAGCATTTAAAAATATCCTGGTGCTTCAACTGCAACCTATTTAGCTATCTCTGGCCATTTTGCCCATTAGATAAAGACATTGATTTCCTGCAAGTTTTTTGTTTTTAATTTGTACTGTATCAAGATTCTATCTGCTCCTTCTCCCCAGCAGATGACAACACTTCGACAACCTTGGCTGATCTTAAAAAGCTAAGCTCTGTTAGATGTGGTTTTTGTATTGAGGATGGATGATCAGCGGAAAATCCCCAGTTGTAGGGTGTACTGGGAAATGTAAAAAGCATCTCAGAAAATACAGTCCCTAGCCTTTTCAGGTTTCTGGTGGTTGCCAGTAGAAATGAATAAGATTTTAACCCTGGTTTTGTGGAAGAATTAACATGAATGTCAACCTCTCTGCAGTTTTCAGTGGCCCTGTGGAGTCTGAATGGAAGATACTCAGGTACTTTGGCCCACTTTCACAGAGCGAATTTGCACTTAAGATCCATAAAGGTCCCTGGGCAATATGAAATAAAGCCGTATTTCTCAACCTTGGCAGCTTGAAGACATGTGGCCTTCAACTCCCAGAATTCCCCAGCTGGTTAGGGAATTCTAGGAGTTGAAGGCCACATCTTAAGGTGCCCAAGTTTGAAAAGCATCTCTCTAAACATCTTCAAAATCTCCAGCTTCCTTTTTGATTATTGCTTTGATATCTTCTGGAGATATCTGTAGGAAACTGAATTTCTTCCCATTCCATCACATCTTCCCTAATATTAAGTAAATATTTAGGCGTAACTGCAAAGGGAAAAAAGAAAACTTCCTGGGTTATTGATCTGGGAATCGTTTTACAAGCATAAGACTGTTTGGAAATTTCTCTTAAATTCTTCTTGAGGAAACAGTCATGGTCCTTTTCAGAATGATAGCTAACGTTCTTGCCTCACTGATTTCTAGAATGAATAACATATTTGTTGACTGAGAGTACTGTCTTGACCATGGTATGTGTAAATAAACAAAGCTTTATGACACGAAGATGGAGAATGGCATATTTTGTTCAAAGCAAGTATTGTGTTGGGTGGGCGGGCAAATAAATTGAATAAGAAGCCACCGTGAAGACCATTTGGGTAGAAAGGCAGACTACAGGTATTTAATGAAATAATTACTGTATTTTTCAGAGTATACGATGCACCTTTTTCCCCCCTAAAAGGGGGTGAAAATTTAGGTGCATCTTATACACCGAATGTAGCCCCGCCCACCCACTGGCCCCCGCCCTTTGGCCGCTGCCTCCCAGCAGTTCATCTCCTTGCAGCAAGCAGCAAGAAGAAACAGCTCGTTTCAGCTTCAGGACAGCCTAATTAGCACAAGTTGATTGGATGGGCCTCCCAACTCTCAGCTGTTTTGATCTCAGCTGTTTTGCGCAGGGCTCTGCTGCTTGCTGCAAGGAGGTAAATTGCTGGAGCAGATTTTTTTTCCTTGTGCTAATCAAGCTATGCTGAAAACAAAAATGAAAGTAAAACAGGCTGTTTACTGCAACGAGGCAAAATTGCTGAGAGGCAGAGGCAGATTTCTTTTTCTTGTTTTCACCAAAAAAGGTAGGTGCGTCTTATAGTCCGGTGCGTCTTATACTCCGAAAAATACGGTAGTTAATAACTGGGTCCAAAATTTCCATTGCTAATCAAGGTGGTTGTTAAGGAAGTTGCACCAGATTTTACCACTTTTTTAATCATTGCTGTTAAGTGAATCGTGCAGTCATTAGATGAATCCAGCTTTTCCCATTGACTGTTTGTTGGAAGCTGCCTGGGAAGGTCAGAAACGATGATCACAGGACCCTGACAGCCTGATATCATCGTAAATGCATGCTGGTAGCCAAGCACCCAAATTTGGTCATGTGAGCGTGGGATGCTGCTGCAGAAGATATAAATGCGAGGATTCATTGTAAGCAGGGGTGAAATGCTCCTGGTTCGGACCGGATCACCCGATCCGGTAGTGATGGTGCTGGGTGGTTCGGAGAACCGGTAGCAAAAATCCCTGCGCCCCCCCATGCCCAGGTAAGCCACGCGATCATCAGAGGCTTTTTTTCTTTTAAATGTCCCTGACGATCCAAACTGAGTTGCCTGATCATCAAGCTGAGTTTGACGATCCAAGCTGACATCCAAGCTGACGATCCAAGACGATGCCTGACGATCCAAGCTGAGTTGCCTGATCGGCAGAGGCATTTAAAAGAAAAAAAGTCTCTGACGATCAGGCAACTCAGCTGGGATCGTCGGAGCCTTTTGAAAGCATTTTTACAACCTCTTCGCTGAAGAGGTTGTAGAAAAAATGGTTTTAAAAGTTAAAAAAAAATTGGCCACGCCCACCCAGTCACATTACCCCCCCCCCAAGCCACGTCCACAGAACCGGTAGTAACAAATTTTAGATTTCACCACTGATTGTTAAGTCACTTTTTTCAGTGCCATTGTAACTTCGAACAGTCACTAAACAAAGGGTTGTAACTCAAGGACTACCTGTAATGAAAGCAAGCACGAGGGGAGATTTTTGCTGAAGCTCAGTGACGCCTTAGTGCATGGGTGTCAAACTTGCGGCGTCACCTTGCCGTCACATGATGTATCGCGACGTTTTTTCCCCTTTGCGGAGCTGTCGTGCTTGGCCTATGTATGACATATCCAGCCCACAGGCCGCCAGTTTGACACCCTTGCTGCTTAATGGAAGCAGATCAACATACGAATGTTGTATTCCATATCTGTAATTTTGACACACACAGCCTTGAGATGGAAGGAATTTTAAACATTTATCAATCTTGACTGCGTATGGCTCGTTGTAACTCATACCCGGAGGATATGATCCCAATCAATAGCACCAAAGATCTTATACAGGCAGCTTGCATGAAGCAATGAAGTCTAGAGTACAGATCAAACATCTATCACAGCCTAGAAAGAGGAAGTACAGTATTTTCATCCATTTCCCACAAAGGATGAGTCATGTCCTTTTTTGCCTATAAGTGGCAATCAACACCCTACATAAAGATAGAGGGGTAGCTGCCCAGCCCTGCTAAAGGCACCTGGCGTTTTCAGGGGAAGGGAGGGGAAGCATATTGGCCATTCCCACCCAAATGTCCAAGAGGAGGGGTAGTACTCTATCTATGCAATGGGTAGAACACGTGGGGCATGCTCGTTCTGCCTCCTACTACTCCAGAACTGGCTGTTACCTAATTTAAATAGCAACCCTGAATACAGTTTATTAAATCAAGATTTATTGAATGCACCGATTAGCCTTGTCTTGCATTTCTAATCGTCTTATCACAGCAGATACAGGTTTGGAAACATGCTAAGCCTTCATCCTTTGAATGAATGCAAAATGTAAGATGCGGCTGACATGCTAATGAAACTGATGATGGTACTGACAGATGCTTGAGCTAAGCAGTTGTTAAGGGAGATTTTTAAAATAGAAGTTTTGTCAGGTCCGTCTTGTTCAACACTAAAAGCATGCAGATTGGAAGGCTTACAGCTAATATTTTTTAATGCAGTTGAGCTGTTGACTCGAATCTGCCAGTGAAATACTTGCCAACGTAATTAACATTCTATGGATTTTATTCCATGGAAGCAAATAGAAATTAACTTTGAGAACATTTATATTTGGGTACTGAATTACCACTGGGGGGGAGGGAAAGGCAGCAGAAGCCAACTGTCTGATTATGGACTTGATTTGCTGAGAGAGGCAACGAGCTGGATATGAATGGAAAAATACAGGAATCGGAGAAGAAATTATTATATAAAATAGGGCATGCGTAGACGAATATCTTTCTACATTAAAACGTGTAACAAGTCAATTATGCTTGTTACAACTGACAAATTGTACAAATTAACCCCCCCCCCAAAAAAAAGACCTGCCTGCAGGTGAATTTAGCCATTTTCATGCACGGAGGAAAAAAAAGAATATGGTTTGTTGAACGAAGACCGGTTTCAAACAGCATGCTGAGCTATCCTAGAAAATTGAAAGCCCAGCCATTCTGAATAGGAATCTGTTGGATCAAATCACATTTAGAGCGGACAGTCATGAAAAGCAGCACTGAGATTGCTGCAATAGATCTGGTAATCCAATTAAAAGGTCATGGGTTAAATTTAATCCTCCTTAGGAACTGGATGTATTACCTTCTGTATACAATCTAGTGTAGCTTCATTTATTTATTTATTAACTTCATGTCCCAACTTTCCAGGAGCCCAAGATAGCACAGCTTCCCTATTTTTCCCCACTAGAACTGTGAGAGGGTGGTTGGGCTGAGAGAGACAAAGCTTTTGTGGCTGAGTGAAGACTAGTATTTAGGTCTCCCTGCCCCTTAGCCAATGTTTCACCAATTACACATACAAGTTCTTGGACTGGAAGACGTCCCCAGTAGTTGAAGGGGACATCACCCTGCCAACAAAAGTGTGTATAGTCAAGGCTATGGTTTTCCCAGTTGCAATGTATGGCTGTGAAAGTTGGACCATAAGAAAGGCTGAGCGCCAAAGAATTGAGGCCTTTGAACTCTGGTGCTGGAGGAGACTCCTGCGAGTCCCTTGGACTGCAAGGCAGTCAAACTGGTCAGTCCTAGAGGAGATCAACTCTGACTGCTCTTTAGAAAGCTAGATCCTGGAGATGAAACTCAAATATTTTGGCCACCTAATGAGAAGGAAGGACTCCCTGGAGAAAAGCCTAATGCTGAGAACGATTGAGGGCAAAAGAATAAGGGGACAACAGAGAAGGAGGTGGCTGAATGGAGTCACTGAAGCATTAGATGTGAGCTTAAATGGACTCCAGAGGATGGTGGAGGACAGGAAGGCCTGGAGGAACGTTGTCCATGGGGTTGCGATGGGTCGGACACGACTTCACAACTAACAACAAGTTGAAGGGGAACCTGAAGCTCCCTATTCTCGGTCCAATGCATTAAGCCAGTGTATCTCAAGCTTGGGAGTTTTCAGATGGGTGGAATTCAACTCCCAGAATTCCCACAGCCAGCATGTCAATATCTGCCTTGAACTGAGGCTCCAGAGAAAGTGGGTCATGCAACAAGGCAAATGACCCAAAACATGCACGAATGGGTTTGAGCAGAAGGAAATTAACGTTGTGGACCTGACAAGTTGAAATCCTGACCTTAATCCTAGACAAATAAATGTTGTGGACAGAGCAGAAGCAGGCAGTTTATGCCAGGGAACCCACCAACATCGCTGAGTTGAAGCTGATCTGCAAGGAAGAATGGGCTCAAATTCCTCCCGGCTGATGGATCAATGGCTGTTGGAAATATTTAGCGGCAGTTATTGTTATTGGGGATGCGGTGGCTCAGTGGCTAAGAGCTTGTCGATCGAAAGGTCGGCAGTTCAGCGGTTCAAATCCCTAGTGCCGCGTAATGGGGTTAGCTCCCGTTACTTGTCCCAGCTTCTGCCAACCTAGCAGTTCGAAAGCACGTTAAAAAATGCAAGTAGAAAAATAGGGACCACCTTTGGTGGGAAGGTAACAGCGTTCCATGTGCCTTTGGCATTTAGTCATGCTGGCCACAGGACCACGGAGACGTCTTCGGACAGTGCTGGCTCTTCGGCTTTGAAACGGAGATCAGCACTGTCCCTTAGAGTCGGGAACAACTAGCACACATGTGCGAGGGGAACTTTTACCTTTACGGTTGCCCAAGGGGGCACCCCAGGTACTGAAAGGAAAGCTTCATTTGCTAGACACGTATCTGTCACTTTGGCTCATTTTTGGTCAATAATTCAATAAATAGATACCATATATTATCGATTCATCCATCCTTTCTTTCATTGGGTTCCCTTTATCTAGTTTTGGGACTGCCAACATTGAGAAACCCTGATTCTTGACGAATGTATCTTTTCTTTTGATGTACACTGAGAGTGTATACACCAAAGACAAATTCCTTGTGTGTCCAATCACACTTGGCCAATAAAAATTCTATTCTATTCTATTCTATTCTATTCTATTCTATTCTATTTTCCTATTCTATATTCCATTCCATATTTTCTATTCTATTCTATTGTATTCTATTGTAT